TTGGTGGGTTTGTCAAAGGTCACCTCGATGGGGTCACGGCGAATGCCCTTGAGCTCTTCTACAAAGTCGGCCTAGAATTCCTGGACAACGTACACCGTGGCCTCGCTGTCACCGAGGTGGTATGCCACGGGCGCTCGTTCTTTGTAATGTTCAAGACGTTGACATCCCCATCATAGGCATTACAGATCACCCCGGAAGAAAGATTTCACCAGCGCACTCTTGGTCGCAGGCACCATGTTCCCAGTAAGCGCCCACACATAGCTGCTCGCCGGAGCATCTGCAGGCTCTCGTAGGAAAGGTCAGGACATCACCAATGTCTTCTTCGTCAGCAAGTCCTCCTGTTGGCTCCCACTGGCCAACCACTGGTGGGTCCAATCCGGGTTGTATCCCCCAGCTCGAAGAAAGGTTGCCGTCACATCCTTGAGGGCCTCCTGCTGACAGCTCATGGTCCACTAGGTCACTACGTTGCTCCAATTGAGCTTGCAGTTGGGGTTGCCTGCGGGTTCAGGCATGCAATCTCCTGGAATGGCCGCGCTGCAACGCTGAACTCGTCCACTTCCATCTCTGCGTTCGTGGTTGGGCGGCGGTGGATGTCGAGGGAACTCGGTGTGGGCTGCCTGGCAAGTAGGTGAGCTTCGCAGGGCTGGCGCCAAGAATTTGCTCCGACCAAGGCGCTGCACGGCTGATCTCTGCTGACCTGTCTCTTCCCTGGCCATCGACCTTTGTGGGCCCTCGCTGGCGGCACTGTTCCTTGAAGTTTCCACAAGTTTGGTCTCCTGCTGGCGCACGTCGAGGGAACGTCTCGAAGTTCTGGTTGCTGCACCACCGTCATCAGAGAGTTGGTGACTTGCATCCAGACCGCCAAGCGCAAGCGCAAGAAGAAGCGACGCCACGCACGCATGTCGCTGGCATTTGCGATTTGCAACGGTTCGGGAAGGGGGCTGTTTTGCCACGCTTTAGATTTTCCAAAGCTCACGGAAGAGCGCATCTCGAAACCATGACCAAACTCAACAAGGCTCAGGTCAACGTGTCTAGTTGGTCGCCGAGTCTGGCGCGGGAAACACGCAACCCTACCACATCAATCATGATGCCCACGTCACACAGTATATAGGCTGGCACATGGAACTGGTCCAGGAATCCAGGAACACTTTGCACACGAAGCAGTCCAGAGGAACCATAGGCGATTGGAGTTTTCTCCTCTGCGCCGGAGATTCCCCTGACTGTCCCGCCGTCCTTATTGGCGCTGCGCCCGAAGCTTACATTTCTCTTGCAAATGCTGGCCACACTTTGATAAAGTTTCTCGCCGATGAGCCCACGCTGCGCTGCTGTGTCTACAAGTACAAGAGCTCTCCCTTGTGTGTCCATGGTGGTAGCAAATTAAGGAGTAGGACAAATGTGTTGGTCCTGCCAGGAAACAAGTGGCGCGCTCACAGTCAGGTAACCCTGCGCTCCTGCAGCAGGAGGATCAACAAAGAACATGCAGCCGTTGGTCGCTACCCACTGGGCTGGTTGGAACTGCTCACGCTTTTGCCTGCATCCCTCTGACTTCCTTTCAGCGGGCAGCTGCGGGACCAATGTCCCGCCTGGCGGCACACATGGCACCTTGGACTCACACCTGCTCCAAAGAAAGCTAGCCGTGGGGCGATGATCACCCTGTTGGTCGAAGCCTCTCCCCTTTCTCGCACCCCGAAGCGCCCGACGATGATCATGTAGGACCCGACGGCCTCCATCTCCTCCAGGTTGTCCGGGGCTGCGCGGGGGAAGGTCGTCCAGAAGAATGTATAGATCTCGCCGTCGGCCGGGTCATAGCATAAGAGCCATGGCCGTCGCCTTCGAAGTTGTCTAGCCCGTGCCCATCTCCTTCATCTTCTTCGTTCCGGCCTCATCCCAGTATGACCTCGCCAGTGCCTCGTCCACGGAGTCGCCGAAGATCCATCGCCGGCTCGACCTTCCTAAAGTTGATCCTCCCGTCCGTGAGCACTCAGATGCGCTGCTGCTGGTCCAGGGTGAAGCCGCCTTGCTTACGAAGAAGATGTCCAAGGAGGTGGTTGCTAGCATCGGTCGCCAACATATCCAAGCCTTGCTTCTTCAGCTCAGAAAAGGCTGCCATTTTGGTGACCAGGAGACCCGCCAGGGTTTGGCATTTGTCCTGGCTTCCGCCGCCCACGAAAAATCGCAGCCTGCTCCGGGCGGGCTCTTTCAAGTAGGCGTGGGGCTCCTCGATGGCCGCGATGATCTGCTCATAGCCTTATGGCCGTCGGGAGCAGTGATGTCATTGACGGTGAGGTGCGCCAGCGAGGCGGCCAGTCGGCATCTAGGATTCAGTCGGCATCGAGGATCCCCTTTCCAACAAGCTGGGCGGTAGCCTTGCCTCCGCCTCGATGAGCCAGAGCTTGAGGTTGCAGGCGCACTCCCGGTACTCACTTGCCGGATTCCCCATTCCAAACACGTGCCGGGTTCATTTTGTAGTCCAGAAACTTCCTCGTCGTCTGGACCTCGGAGCCATCCAGTCAACCTTGTCCGTAGGGCGGTGTCGAAGGTGTCGCTGGTGATCGCCAACGGCAAGTCGCCGAGAACGCTCCATCTCCGTAGCCATTTCCAAAAGTCTTCTGCGATGGCTCGGTCCAAAACTTGTTGCCTCAAAACGTCAGGCTAGCCGCTGGCAGCGAACTGGCGTCACAAAACACTCCAGTTTCCACAGGACTTGTTCAAACCAAATGACAGCAGGCCGGCGCCAAGGAACAAGTAGTTTAGGCTGCTGCTCAGAAAAAAGTCGAGAACCACCTTCCCGTAGAACCGGGTCGTGCCAAAGTTGCGGAAGTCACGAAGCTCTGCCACGAATCAGTCGGTGCGTCTACCGAAGCCCAAAGCAAACCACTGGAGCCCAAGGTCGTAACCAGGCACTCCGCTACCATGTGTGTTGGAAACCAGCGCAGCAAGCAATCGGGCATTTTCCTATGCTTGGGACTCAAGGCGCCTTCGGATGATGCAAGCCAGGTCCCTGTTGCATGGTGCGCACAGCAGAAGCGCATGACAGACGCTACAATAGCCCTTTACCATGCAACTCTGGCTTACCTGGTGATGTGTTCCACAGCTGAATCGACTGCCAGTTCGTGGGGTTCTCCATGATCACAGGATACGCACGATTAAGGCACTCCACGAAGTTGGCCGGCAACTTGAACTCCGGCAAGTTTGCGGCTTGAAGCCTGGAGACCACGTCCTTGCTGACGACCAGCTTGTTGTCGGTATCCATTTGACATGCCATCGTCAGGAACGCTTCCTGGAACTCCACACGCTGGTTCGAGCTCTCAGTACGTTTTTCCACCTGCAGGCGCAAGTCATCACTGTGTCTCTGTGCAAATTCTTGCACCACCAATGCGGATCCTGAGTTTCGCCGTGCTCCTGTTCTTCCCCATCGAAAAGGACCGACCACGGCTCCGAAGGCTTCATTCCATGCTTTGACCGGGGCGTCCACTTGCTGATGCTCTGCTCAACCAGCACACGCCTTGGAAACCGAGTGTTGGTTTGCACGGGTTGCTGGTCTTTTGGGTCGACTCGAACATGACTTGAACCCAGTGGTCTTTGCTCTCGCGGCCGCTCCTGGTCTCAGCCCTCTGTGCGCGAAAACCACCCAATACGCTCTGTGTGCAAATGCCTGGATTTTCCTTCGCCGGAATGATGCATCACCTTGCCAAGGCGGATCCCGGACTTCTGCTGTGGCGATGTCATGGTCATCGTCCCAGGCGAGTACAGGCTCCACATCGCGACCAAATATTCTCTTATAGTGTGCGATGAGAGCTTTCAGGTGGGGCGGACCCTGGCAAAAGGCCAGCCAGACGTGCTCGGACTGACGAGCAAAGTTGCTTAGCCAGGCAAGCGCTTGGACTTGAACGTGGTCAGGTGGCAAGGAAATGGAGGCAAGTTTACGCTGGGCGATGGGAAGGCTACAAAAATGCATAGTGATGTCAATACATGTCAATACTATTGATTTTTGCTTGCGGCTGCTTCGACTACTCGGGACTGTTGGTAGCAGTACTGACAGCTGGGTGCAACCAAGTTCTTGATTTACTCATCATTAGCTGTTATTCTTGTCGCTTGGCAACCGCCTGATTATGGTCAGAACCGAATCTTGCGGGCAGGAGAAGCCCAAGGTGTCATGCCGCGCAAAGGACAACGGGCTAGAGTCCGGCTAGAGTGCTGACGCAGGATTACCTGACAAACATTGCCAAAACTCCCAAGGCCCTGAATCTAAGTGGCATTTTGAACTCGCGCCCTCGACGTCTACCGGCATACTCGGTCGGTCCATATTGACGCTCGTTTGGCATTGCTCTACAACAATCCCGATTTCTTGTTGTCAAGTGCTGTTCCTGATGATGCTGCTGCTGCATGTTTCGGAAAGGCTTTCAATCGATTGGACATTTTTGCACGTTCGCAGTCCCTGTCGCAGCGCTGTCTGCTCAATCAACGCAGCAACATCATCATCTCGCACAGCCTGTATCACAACAACCCATCAGCAAACTCACCCAACCAGCAGCATGGCAACTAAGCCAGTCACTATGCATATCGTCCCAGGGCATCCTGAAAAGGGCATACTGAAAATTGCTGCATTCATTGAACAATGCACATTGCCCAAAATAAATCTCTTCGTCATTAGGGTCATGGAACAGTTGCCATATGGACCCTCAAGTTTAATGACAAGTGCCAGAAGATAGGAGCCAATTCTCACCACGTGTCCGCACATGCCCAGCAACTGCAACCAGACTTACTCAGGTAGTCCTTGGGGAGATGTTCTGGCCCAGCTCAGTATAGCTCTCACCGCCACTGTGGAAGCCTTTGTGGCGGTAAGTGAGAAGCGCATCTGCAATGGAAAGCGCACAAGCCTCCTGCACCGGCACTCCGCGGGCGCCGGCTCCAAGCAATGGAGCCACGACAGTGCCAGAACGGCCGCAGACAAGCTCAGCAAGCTCCAGGCTTGCCTGAACTGCGGAAAGTCTTTCAAATTAACGTACACCAGTCCGGCTTCGCCTGCCAGCAGCTTGCAAGGCAGGCTTCCCAGTCATCGCGGTAGAAGGGCCTCGACTGGAAACCCTAGGTTGCAATCTCTTACTCATAAATGGCAAGGGAACCTCAGGCAATCCCTCGCACCACAAATCTTCAGCACAAGGCGGCGCTGTATGGACGATGTGGCTGAAAAACTTGCTTAGGCCTCCCAGTGCCTGGGCTGAAAGAAGCTTCTTACAAATTCGAAAAAGCAAGCTGTGGGCGGGACTGGCGTAGTGACAGCCTTGCCTGCCCATCTCAAAAAGCAAACTTCAGTTCTTCGCAATCGTTTGCACTGACTTGCACAAGAGATGTAAGTCACGAATCAAGCTGATTAGCAGACTAGCAGGGCATGCAGCAGGCAGGAGCTGCACGCGCAAGCAAGACTTGGCACCTGTCGGACATCTGATCCCGGGAGAGACCTCTGCGAGCTGCAAACATGCCTGACAAACCAGCTGGATGTCTGATGACAAGGCCGCCAAGCACCGAGCAACACGTCCTCCTTCAAGTGAGGGCCGCCCAAAGCGTGCACGCGCCCGTCAACGACCTCGCTCACTTAAGGTCAGGTACCTAACCACCGTCAGTCCACTGTCAGTCCAAGAATGGATGAAAGCTCGTAGCACGTTGAGACAAGGGCTTGCTGAGCATAAAACATTCCGCTGCCAGCTTCCATGCCGCACCACCTGCACTGCTTACCTTAAACCCTACTCCTTACGTCAAGCAAAATGAAGCAATCTGGATCTAATCGTGTCTGTATGTCCAAGAAAACAGAAGAACGTTTACGTCAGCAACTACCTTCAGGCTTCTGGCACTCTGCAGACAACAAATCTTTGCCGCGACCCTGCGCAGTTTCAAACGGATGCACTGCATGCCCCAATAGCAAGCATGTGCCTCTGATTCGGTGGGTGTCAGCTTCAATTCCAATGCTGCTGAACGAACAGCCCGTCATGCGGATTTGAAGGAACGGCACAGCAGGCAAGTCTATGAAACTCGCAGTCGTAAACTACGGCCCTTCGTTCAGCTCCTTTGTATTGGAGTACCCTAGAAGCACTTCTAGAAGGAGATTTCTCCACCAGTAGTGAATGACGTCAAGAAGCGTGTGGGCAATCACGAGGCTGACGTTAAATGGCCTTGAATTCTGGAGCTCCGGGGGCGGCTCCACTTGCATCGGAAAGTATGGCAGCCGAGTGCCCACCAACGCCTCATAGCGGAAAGCAGGGGCAGCACAAAACATTGCATGGAGTGATGTTGACGCTTGAGCTTCGACCTGCCTCGTTTGCAGGATTGATCAAGACATCGCAAAACCCATGTGGCGGTCTTTCAACGATATCATCTGTCAGGTACCTGGCAGGTACCAACTCGGATCCCAAGCGGAGAACATGTGACAACATCTGAGACTTTAGCAGCTGAAGCTGTGTTGGCCCCAGTGGCCATGACCTGGACACAAAGCTAGATGCTGCTAGCTGGCGAGACCCTATTGCCACACCTCCTCAAGCCACATTTTGGAGCGGTGAAGCTGAAGCTCCGACAGAGGCGAGCGCTTGCCTGCTTGCAGTTGGGGAGTGGACTTCAGCTGGGACTGAATGCATCGGCGCCTTTAACGTGGCCCTGTGCATCATGCAATACGCTAGATTTGCATTCAATGCCTGCTGTAGCTGGGATAACCAAAATATGGGAGTGGCAGCATCATGACATGCAATGCTTTGCTTGCAAGGGTGCTTCCGTGTAAAGGGGGGCGCCGGTAAGCACTGCACTAAAGTATGCGCGCTGGGCATGTGATACATTTACGAGGTGAAGTCACCCGCAACATCCGTAGATCGTGATGAACTTGAATCATCATGTCAGGTTGTCTAAAAGAAGGTCACGCATACTACTGCTGGCGGTGCCAATGGTAATGGCTGCGGCGGCGCTGAGTGTGGAAGCAATGCCATTGAACTGCATCAGGGGTAGCAGTTGGCACATGAGAGGTACACCACATCCTCAAGTCCACAATCCCTCCATCAAGAGTAAGCCAGCTGCATCCCATCGCAACAGGTACTTCTATGTTACAATATCTAGGGTGGCAGACCAAGAAGGGCTGTCGCGTCACGAAGGCATCAGGCCCCGCCCACCCAGTCTTGGAATCAATGCGCGCACAGTGCAAAGAGGACAGTTCATGTCGTCCCCTCTTGCCACAAACTTACAAACCTCAAGGCACAGGCTGCGTGGCTTCACGGGAGAGACATGGTCAAACTATCCTGGCATGTCTTTCCCTTGGGCCGAACTGAGATTGGACGACCTCGGTTTCCAGGCTTTGCAGGTGTTGCAAACAGTACTGTAGATGCCTAGGCCTAGACCTGACACTTTCCAAACCCTTTCATGGTTATACGCTTTCTCCTGGAAACCCTGTTGCCCATAGCCTGCAGCAAATTGCAATCAGCGTGCATTCCCCCTCAGCGGAGCAGAGAGGCTGGGCCCTACTTGCATCCGAGAAATCAGGAAGGGCGGTGTTGATCAGGCCGATGGTCACAGGATCAACCATTCCGCTTCCACGAGCATCCATGGCTCTGGGCAGTGAGGGCAACTTCAGGCCTTCGACATGCCTTGAAGAAGTTAAGCAGCAACGGACTCCACATCCGTCAGCGCGGCGTCGATTCGGCGTCTCTTCCAGGAAAAGTAGCGAGTCCACAGAGGCGTTGCTGAGCTGTCATCGGCAACTTTTAGCAGAACAACCAGGCCAGGTCAAAGGCGTCGCACCTTGCAAGCAAGTTTCATGGGTGTCTTGTAAGGATGTGCTCTGATGCACAATGCAAGGGCCGGACTGCAATTCGGTGGGTCACATCCCAATGCGCAGGCCTTGCACAAAAGCGATCGTATGAGAAGTCACGGGGGATTCCTGCAGCATTGAAATGTGTTCTAACAGAGAATCTGTTAGGCACTTAGCTGTACGACGCATTGTCACCACCAAGCTCTCGACAAGAACTCAGGACGCATGACTTCTACCTGGGACAACCAATGAGCCATTTCCCGCACCCAACATGTCTGGCAGAGTGGGGAGCTAGCAAAATGCGCCCTGCACCTGCAAATCAGATCTCCCAAGTCACCTTGACGGCATGACCAGAAGTCTCAACTCAACAGTAAGCACATGGTTACAAAAGACTCAGCCAAGCTACGTCTTGAGTTCGTCCACGCCTCGACCGTCCTCCGTCCGACCTCAAGGCCAAGCTAGTGTCGGAGCTTGAGACCTTCCTGCTTGATTCAACAGAACTATACAAGCAGGCAGTGGAGCAGGCTAAATCACGGCCGCATCATGCTGCAGCCATCCCCGAACCGAGAACAACCCCCAAGAAAGCCAGTGGCCTCTGCCTCGTGCTGATTCTTGCAGCGAGCTCCCGCTTGTCGGCCTTTAGTCTCTGAAGAGCCATGCGGCGGACTAGCAGCTTGGCAGGTTCGAGACTGGGGCTCAGATCGCTCCAGCAGGATGCTCTCCACAGAACCTGCCGCAACTGCAGGCAAGGAGTGGGCATCGCCCGGGCCGTGGGCTAGAAGGCCTTTGTCGCTCCAGGCCAGCGTTCTTCAAGTCTAGTCAGTAGCATGGGTGCCTGGGACATCCAGCACTTGTGCATGGCATGCGATTTCGGGAAGGCTTGCGAATACTTCTCTAATGGCTTTCCCTTGGAGATCTGTGGAATTTGGCCAGCTCAAAGGTATTCAAGCGTAAATCTTCCTGCGGCCGCTTGCATCAGCCATAAGGGCTCTTAGAGAAGTCACTCTCTGCATTATTACTTGGCGTCTTTGGGGCCTGGTTACTTCCGAATTCCGGCGCCGTTCAATGCCCCTGGTACCTGTTCTTATGTTCTTGCGCCGTTGCCATGCTTGCGACTTTTTTGTTAATCTTACATGCGCCCCATCCATCAAAAGTGGCATGATTATTTCGATCGCCGTCGACTCGAAGTCATGACCTGGCGTAACAGAAATCATAACCATGGGGAAATGATAAGTAGGTCAAAGAAGGTGCCCTTTAAACTGACCCCATCCTCACCTTGCTGTTGAATGGCGGGAGCCCACAGGAAATCCAAGGCAAATGCTATCTCTGCCCTTTATTACTGCTTTCCCAGGTTCGTCAACGCCATGAGGTCTGAACTTCTAAACATGTTTGGAACTTCTGCGCCGTGCGACTGGATCGTCACAGGTTCTTGAAATTGGAGGTTTACAATCATGGTAGGGGTGATAATTAATTGGTAGAAATATGGAGAAGGTTTGTTCGACAATCAAACCACTCCCTGAGGCATGTGAGGGAAAACCACCGGGAGTGGGGCTCACGGCGCACAGCACACAAAGGCATGTGCGCGGATGAGACGGGTCAAGTACAGACAGAGGAGAGATCGGGTCACCTTCCCATTGAATCAGGGGAACCGAGCCACAAATCCAAGAATCCAAGAATTGTGTCCTTCGGCCTTTTCGTTGATCGGCGGATTCAGGGAAAGCCAGGTATCATTGCATGTGTCGTTAATGGGGGCGGAGACGGCACGGCTTCCCCAGTCGCGCTAAATGACCAGGGAATCTTTCACTGTTCGCAGTTCAGCTGTTTCAGTTGAATGATGATTTAGATTGGTGAGCTCAAGCGGGAAAATGAACCGAATTGAGCTCTCCTCGTTCTGGTTGAACTGAATCAGACAAACAAGCATTTGTTCAGCTCTCTGTGCAGCCAAGCGCGGAGGACTGCGAGAGCAAAAACTCGACGACGACAGCCGTGGCGGCGATGAGAATCAGGATAATAGCAATAATAAAGATGATGAACAATAAGTACATCCTTATGGCGATGCCAGATATCTCAAGAACACTCTAGATAAGATTGGCGAAACGTTCCAAAATATGCCATACTAGCAACAAGCGTAAAAGCAGCAAACATCACAAGAAATGGGATGACAGAATTGAATTTTATCACAGTGCCAAAATTGTGCTGCTACATGTTTCTAGCATGCCGCTTACAATTACGTTAATGATGACTCTGGCCCACGCCCCGATATGGCCACGCGGATATAGAAAGATACACATCAACCAAAAAAAATGCAGCGAACATAGCAGTGCTGAAAAATCGCGATGCATTACCCTTAACCGTCCACCCCAGCAGCCCACAGGTTCAGCACTTCTCTCTCCTTTCATGCAATCATGGAAGTCCATCGGCTGCGCCTTCTCCATGAAGGCTTGCTGATACTCTGCGAATCCATCATCGGCCGCTTTCATCTGCCACGGGACACACGCTGTCAGCATAGCTCCTCTTGCGCGATTGCCGCGAGCATCTTTTCCTCACGCCTCTAAACTACTGTTGTACGGAACCGGGCAATCCAAACAAATTGCCTCCCAATCATGACACGCCAAGTCGTCGTCCAGCCCCTCGAGAGTCCAAGCACTTTTCCAAGCTCACAACAAAGCAACTTATACAGCTGCGCGGCCCACGCTGATAGGATGCGCTGGAAGACCTGTAAGCTCGACATCAGAAAAATCATTGCTCAGCAACTCCTGGACTGTGGGGCCCAGACCACTTCAGCACGAGCCCAGGGGACATTGTCACCACCTTTCATCAGTCCGGAGGCCTTCAGCGCGCACAGCGCCCAAAACTGCAACAGGGTGGCTTTACCTTTCTCACCAACTCCAGCTGTGCATCCTGGCGCAAATGGCAGCCCGACGCCTGGCACGCAATTTCGCTCATCTGGGCTAAGTCTCAAGGCTAATTGCATCAGCCATTCCATTCCCATTATTTGCTCCCAGAAGCCCATACTTCGAACCCGAAACCATGTATCCTAGACTTTTGTAAACCCCAGGCTACTTAAGCCCAGGTTCTTGCGGCCCCACCCTGAACCTGTGATATCCACCTGAATGCAACCTGCTGGCCTGGGATCACTTTTGGCCGAGGGGGCCTTCGGAATGTGGACATCCACCTGTTGGAGGGAAGTCTCAGCAAAGAAACCTGAAGAGGGGACCTCTGAGACTTCATGACCTTGAGACCTCTGTGCTGAAGCTGTTGGCTTCATGTACGTAATCTTACTGTTTTCCGCTGTGCCTTCTGATGTACCTCGCACATGGCTGTCCTGTGCCTCCAAGGCTTTGCTTGCCTTGTATGAGCCTTTTTTTCTTCGCGCTTTTCAGCTACAGTCCGTGGTCTCGAGCCTAGTTCTCAGCGACCGGCATCTGAGAACAGAAATGTCAGAAAAGCTAGCATGAGAGACTAGGCACCTAAGCAAGCATGCTCAGGAGCCCGCTCACTGCCTTCCTGGATGGGGAGCCCCCGGCCGCTAGTGTCCCAAAGCCCTAGAACCAACCACGCAAGCTATAGGAAACCTATGATTGGCGGCGGCCCAGAAGCAATGCACAGACGGGCCACCAAGTTTCATGTTGAGTAACAAAAGAGACTTTTGAAGGGACAGCAATGAAAGTTAGGGTGGCATCAAGCCCAATGCACGGTTTTGGTTAAGGAAACAAAGAAAAGAAGTTGGAATGTCAAGTAATCTAAGGTAACAGCCGGCGAGTGGCATCGGTTTCTAAAATCGGTTACCATTCACGTCTCGGTCTTCCAACTCTCCTCACGTACCCACTGGCAGTCGGCTGCAAGCTTTCGGGGATGAATGAAGTGAAGTGCATGGGGTTTTCGTGAGGTAGTCTCAGTGCTTTCCCAAAGAGGAGGAGTTGCCGTTGCAGATTGGTGGCTGCATGGCAACCTGCTCTCCTCAATACATTTGCGTTGGATATTCGTGAAAGGCAGGAGCGATGCCAAGGATACGCAAACAGCGGTTTTGAAAACCATCCAGTCGCCGATGCTCAACTGCAGAGAGGCATTAGCAACTGAGACCGCGCGTTTGGATTCAATGAGATATTTTGTAAATCTGAAGCTTATGAGTCCAATGCAGCGAGGAATGCTTCAGGATTTTTTGCAATTGTAAAAGATCTGACTTCGCCATCCCGATCCTCCGTCCAAGTTCATGCCCAGGCAGACCGTCACACCTCAGGATGGTTCCTAGGTACTTGATGCCTGGCTTTGAGGCAATGCGTTCCGATCGAGGCATGACAGCGAACTTGGTGGAGTTGGAACTTGTCCCAGTGGAGTTCCCATTCCGTACAATTTTCCAGCATCTGCAACCTTGGAAAGGACTTGTTGCAAATGATGGTCACAGGAGCCTAGGAGAAGTGTGTCATCAGCATAAACAATATCTAGATCGCCTTGGAGATACGCTCTTGGTCGTCCAGGTTTGACACTGCATCATGCATCAGCATTGTCATGGTCATGATGGAAAGCTGAGTGCACCCTTGTGAAATGCCAGATAACTGAGCTCTGGAGTCAAAACTGACACCCTGATCTTCAACATAAAAACGACGATGACCCATCATTTGTTAGCAGCGCTCTGGAATACCAAACCGACGAAGTGCGTCCAGAAGACTGTTCACATCGATACTGTCGAACGCTTTTTCCAATCCAGGGCAACAAGTCGGATTTGGCGGTTGCGTTGCGCACATGCCAGCTCAATTTGGCGCAGAGAAACGAATAATTATTGCATCTTCAGTGCAGTGGCCGCTTCTGAAACCAAATTGGGATTTCCAAAGTCGCGCTTCGACGCCAGCGTCCAGAAGGCGTTCTTTCATGAGAGAAGCAAAGAGTTTGTACGCAATACTTTGAAGACATATAGGCCAGTAGTTGTTCGCATATGTCTACCGATGAGCGTGACGAATTGACGGATCCTATCCCTAAGTGCAGTTTGATCCGGCCGAATGTGCTGCAAACAGTTCTAAGAAGGGCAGCATAAAAGAGCGGAAAGAGCCGAAAGGTGGACAGGAGGCTTCATGGGGAGGCTTCATTTCGCAAATGTTGTGCGCAGTTTTGTGGCTCGGCTTGCCATGCGGCTACGCAGAATGCACTTCTAAGGCTCAGCAAAAAAGAGGAGCACATGCCGAGATATGCCACGCACGTTGGGTGCGCAGTACTGCCTCTGAGTGAACTTCTGCAGGCAGGGCTGCACGGCAACGATCCAGGCCTCCTTTGCCAGGCTCTCCTTGACCTGTTGTCCATGCTCTGTTGAAGCCCTGTGGTGGCCTGCCAAAAATGCGGTGGACGTCTGCCATGGCCCAGTCACTGGGCTTCTGGCAGGGAACACACAGGAGCAGCACATCATGAGAACCCGGCCTGAGAGGCATCGCTTTCTCAGCAACATGAGAAGTGAGAAGAATACGCCGGGGAGCTGATGCGAAGTGGGCAAAAAACTTCGGAAGCAGCTGGGCCTCCGCTCTCTTCTAAAACAAAGGCCCCTCAGCAAGCTGTGAGTCAGGACTTTTGCTCTCGGAGCCAAGCACCAAATTGTATCTGGCTAGATGGACATCGCTGCCGCAAGCTACGCAGCGATTCTCTTTCACCGACCTGGGCAGGCGGAGCACCACAGTGAAGCATGCTGTACTCTGGACTGGAAAGCTGGGAGCTTTGGCGTGTAGAACTGCTCCCGCCTGAGCCGAAACAAACCGTTTCAAACTCATACCCGCATACACAAATGTCACATGTCACAGCCGAGAATGCAACTGCAGCATGTTCTCATCTGGTACACCATCCCCAGAGAGCCTGGGCGAAACTCAAACAAGCAAAGAGGGGACAGCCCATCCAGCATCTGCAATGTGAGTTCCGTCCATGACATGTGAGCACGAAGAAACTCCAACTTCCGCTATGCTCTACTCTACTGGGTGTCACGACATGTCACGACCATTTCTTAAGGCCAACAAAAATCACTTCGAGGGCAGCTCAGGGGACTGCCCAAATTCGTTGCGGATGCCGAAACGACCCCGTGGCTCGAAGCAAAGACGTATGCAGTCAGTCCTTAGGCCCTCTCTCCTCGACCACTCGCACCAAATTCTCCAACGCAACGGAAAGCAAGGCTTCCAGCTGATCTTCTTCAGGCCTGAGAGGCTGAAACGGCAAAGGCAGCTTTTGGGCGGCAGGCTGCCCTAAGTGTAGGTCTCTGAGCAAATGTGAGCAAATAAAAAGAGCACGGCTATGCAAACGCAGGAAGCAACGTGTCAACACCGGGCCTGTTCCTGCCCAAGTGCTAGTTATGGATAGCGAGCCTGAAGAAAGTGAATGCCTAGGCCTGGGCCTATGACCTCCAAGCTGGCTGCCCGGAGAACTTTGGCAGGCCGAAGGAAATTCGGTCCCGAGATGTGTGTCTGAAGAGCGCCGGAGGCCCAAGCTTTTACTCACAGCACAGAGATTCACAGAGTCTCAGACAAGCGGGGCACGGTTCAACAAGAAAGGGTGTAGTAAAGCATCAGCATCGAGAGGCTAGCGCAACGACAAAGCAGCACATGCACATACATGCACGTGCTCCCGCTGCTGAAAACCGCCGTGGAGACTCTTTCCCTAATCTCTTTCCTCCGCCTCCTTCCGAGTTTCATGTTGAGTTTCATGTTGCCTCTTGCCTCTGCTTTGTGGCCTTTGCCCAAATCTCTTTTTCTGCCAGATGAAAAGCAACTAGTGACATCGACAAACTTAGGCACAACATGAGGCAAGGACTTGGCGAGACCACGGCGCACCTTTGTGACAATGTCAGTTGATCATCATTAGTTGTAAGGCCGTCCATCTTCCGTTGATTCGTTGATGCTGCCTTCTCTACTCTTGAAATGCACTGCCATTCTGCGTGCTGCGGGTCTGCATGGGACATAGCACAGCACGTACCAGTTCAGCTTCTTCTTGTCAACAGTGCATAATATCTGCCCATCAGGAGCCAAAATCCTGGATGCGCAAGGAACATAACATGTAGCAGCGGAGTATGCGATTCGCTGCGGCAAGTTCCCTGCCTGCAGTTCTCATACACAGGTCCTTTGGCTGCGACACGTTGGACAAAGCTAAGGAACCTCTGCAGAGAAGCAGCGTGCTGGGTGCAAGCTGGTTCTGATCCACGCCTGGCGCGTTTCCTCAGCGGCTCCTGCATGACCTGGGCACCCAGTCTCAACGTGCATCCGCTTCCACAACTTCCTCCGACTGATGCGCAGGACCCGCAGGTGGCACAGGAACAATTAAAGATGGGACTCGCTGCTGCTGGCTCGCTGGAAGCCTCTGGCTTGCCAAGAGGAAGTTCGAAGGAATGGGATAAGGAGAAGCTAGGGTGCTGTCACCAACTAGCGTGCCAATGTGTACAGTGTACAGCAAGTGAAGGCTTGCCTGCAGAGAATCTCTTGAAAAGCGGCAGCAGAGGAAAACGGAAGCCACCACCTCGACCCACGAGAACACATCTTGCAGTGGCATGCTGGGGTGTTGAAGTCCTCTCAGCTGCACACCGAGCAGGACCGCTGTCTGAGATTGCCTGGCGCCAAAGATCGCCAAGAATCTCCGAGTCCAGCCAGGCAAGCTACGGCTTCAGTAAGATCCTGGGTGAATGACAGTGTGATTTTTTCCCGCAAGAGTCAGGGAGTGTATGCACAAAGCGCCGCCACTAAAGGAAGGCACCGCTTTCTGCCTTGCCTTAGAGCTTGCGCAAAGCTACAAGCGCTGGTATGTAGATGCCGGGCCAATTTCCTTACAAAAAAATGAGTCCGGTGTCAAAGGGTGGGAGCATTGAGATCTATGTAGCTCGTGGGTGCTGCATCCTTTTGGGTTCTGTTTGGGCTCTGCTTATCGTGGTCGCAGACAGCACATCTTGCAAAACTGTCTCTATCTGACATGTGAAGTCCTTAGTACCCTGCACGAAACGGGCAGATTCAAAACGAGCCACCTGCCTGCAGGCCGCTTCATCGCTCGGCATGTCATGTGATTTGAATTTTGACTCCATGGCTCAAATTGTTGAACCTGCCCAGGAAACTAGAGAACTAAATAATGCTACACGCTGCAGCGTAATCGCTGTCACTGAATGGCTTCAGGCTTGCAAACGAGCGCATTGAGCTGCCGAATGCGCCATGCCGCCAGTTCTCAAAGTGCCAAAGCAAACGGACGAATAAAGGAGCAAAGCCTTCAGCTGCGCTCTTGAAAAAGCTCACTAGCCGCACTAGCCGTGGTGAGTAGGCAAAATGGGATCGCATCTCACTTCATTTGGAGCAGGTTCAACCGTCTGGCCAAGCTCCACAGTGCGCAACCTGATGGATGATCTCAGTCTCAACCCTTCCACGGGACACGGGACCCCTATCGTAAGCGAAAAGATGTCTCGGAGTTGTCTGACCCTGCACTGTCTTAGCAACGACAGCTGCATCTCTCCAATATGCCTCTACTCCAAGCTTGTTGAAGCCGGGCATCTTGTTGAAATATTTCACGTAATCAACTTGTTGGCTGGCAGGTCGGTACATCCTGAAGCACAAGTTGGCAATGTTTCCCAGGCCTATGTGCCAAGTTCCAGATAGATCGGCTCCTCTCCATCTTGTCGCCAGCTCCTGAAGCCAGGATGGCCAGGACAGATGACAAGAAACATGACTTTGCAGGATCATTCTGATGTGCTCTGACTTGAGACAGATATCGCCGATGGCAGAAATCTATGAAGCTGACAGAACTTGAAAAACGACTTACCCAGGGCTAGACGCAGCTTGGAAAACAAATGCATCTGCAGCACAAGCACATTCACTCCATCCAGCCTGGCGTAATAAGATTCTTCATGTCCACCAATTGATCTTCAACATGAGAGCAGAAGATGCTGAATTTGGCCTGCGCACAAGCCTAATACAAGCCAGGCATCCCCAGGACAGGCTGAGGAAGCATCCTGCCTGAAATTTCGCATTGTCGTACATCACCGACAGTATGTCGATGCTCTTTGCGTGCCTGCCGACACAGGCCCCTTTCCCCTTGAATCCCAAGCATACATGAGGTCAAATGAGACGGCTTGACCCTTTGAGCTTCATTGTGCCATCAACAAACTCATCGATCGTCACTTCCTTACGACGTAGTAGTAGTAGTAGTAGTAATAGTAATAGTAATAGTAATAGTAATAGTAATAGTAATAGTAGTAGTTAGTTAGTTAGTTAGTTAGGTAGTTAGTTAGTTAGTAGCAGCTTCCTTATGACACGGATGAGTAGGCCTCGCCATTGGCATGCAACAACCCAATCAACGACACTTTGACGGTAAAAAGCTGGATCATTACACCTTTTCGCGCCTGAAACGCGCATTCCGGCTACAGGGCTTTCAAAGTGCAGATAGAGCTTGAAGTTACACACTTGGGTATGCAAGCCGAGCTGAACTAAGTGAACAAAGTGGCATTGTCTCGATCTGAATCCATCAATGTGAAGATAATTGCCTGAAACAGGCTTGAGCACTTCCACACTGAAGGACAACATAACACATCCGCAAACTCAGGTCTGCACTGCTTCGCTCGCATCAATATCCATGCCTTCGAGCGCAGCTACTCGCATGCACGGCACATCAAAGCTGTGCATGCTTGATGGGAATGACTACACTTTACCGGAGTGCTTTCGCTGGATGGCGGTTCTGCATGGCAAAGACTGCAAATGTCAACTGCACCATGCGCAGACAAGCCGCCTGAGAAGTACGCCTTGACCCAGGGATTTTGCAAATGCTTCTCCAACTCCCTGTAAGTCATGGAGCCACTCATATCTCCTCAGATCATTGCCGCAAACTTTTACCATAGTGCCACGCTGCCATGCAGGAGTGAACAACCCAACATTATAGTACAACATGTCGGAATGTTTTAAACTTCGCAAAGCATCCACCAAAAAAAACCTTCATTGCGCAAAGGAGTCTCAACTCCGCAGAATTTAAAGGGGGTAGCTCTAGCTCACTGCGAGAATACTTGTTCAGTGACCTTCAGGCGATGTGTTTGAAGCTTGGATGGGCTCTTGATAACCATTGGCTTCTGTATTGCTGTTTCGTTATCTTGGTGTCCTCTAACCCTGTAATAAAATCACTCAATATGTTAAGGAGGAATCCCAGAAGTTATAAAGTGATACAGCCGTAGCAAAGGCCCACCAGGTTAATCTCAAGTATGTGCAGTTGAGCTGCGATCGGCCTGCTTTTGCAAGACAAAGAGCTCTCTTGCAGTTCAAGCTGGCCTACTGCACTTTTTGCAATTGGATATTCTTAAAACTGCCTCCTTGAAGATTCTCCGGACTTCATCTGCCGTTCTCTTTTGATCTTCTGTCCAGGACTCCACCACCTCATCCTGCAGTATAAAACCGGCTTCACAAGCCTCTACAGGAGGCAGCCCCGATAATGAACAAATTAGGTGATAGATCTGTCCTCCGTGCGGGTGCACACCGCACTATCAACGAAAATGCCAGTCACCTATGATTGCACACAGTGTCGAAGACTGCTGCGTCCAGAGTCGAAGACGCAAAGCGCCAGCGCATGCTGAGGACGGCGCAACGTTCAGCACACCCACCAAACTCAAGCCAACATAGAAGGCAAAAAGTACGAAATACCTTGGCTGCATGCATCCGTCAGCATGCGTACCCGTTTTGGTCACCGTGAAGTCGTTCAAGCAAATCCAAGGCACACTTCTCCAAGGTCGATGCTTCGGAGAAGCTCCGCATAAAGCATCCAATCATTTCCTCCAGTTATTGAACAGAAAAGGGCGACCATCCTCGGCTTCACAGGCAAAGTGGGGGCCATCTTGAAACTGACACACACTTCTCCGCGTACTGCTGATGGGTGACGTGTTGAAAAGGTTCGAAAAATGAGTGTTTATCCTGGCCGCTGGGTGCAGGTGCTCTTGCTTCAAAGATACAAGGTTGAGCCAGAAGTCCCACAAGAAGAGTGATAATTAAAAGGGAGCACCGTGGGTCTCTCACGGTCATGGTAAAGCTACGGAGGCTTCCCGAACCTAACCATGGGCCCATCTCATGATCCTGCGGCAAGAGCACAACTGCAGCTATTCTACAACCGGCTCATCGCTGGCCTGTCCACCTTGTCTCTGTGATCAAGGTTGCTGGGATCCAGCAGGTCGTATGAGCTGGCGATGGCCATGTCGAATATCACACTGAACACGAACCTGAGGTGAGAAATGAAAATCTCCAGCGAACCAGGTTCCGCGCAGACAGCTTAGAAAGCAAAGAGGCATGACGATGCCGATCAAAACAAATGCCCAGAGCAGGGCCTTAGACAGCTCGCTGACACACAGAAGCTCAGTCTCCAAAAAGCCTTCTCGTATGATCTTTGCAAAGTTGCAGTCAGGGAGTTCAGCATCGCGAAAAGCATGGTGCGCAGGCTTCTCAAAGCCTTCACCTTGGCAGTCCCAAACATCGTGCTACCCTACCTTTGGGGTGCACAGTCTTTTCGACGAGCGGCTGTCCGCACAACTCGTACGACGCGGACCAACCGGAAGACCCGAAAAACCCGCAACAGTGACCTCGGCCAAATGCAAGCTGACGAGATCCGTCAACCGCGGCTGTATGAAGCCACCATACCTTTTTCATACGGAGTAGGGGAAATTGATTTTCTTCTTCTTATTGCTTTATGCGCTTCTGGCTGGTCATCGTTATTTCTTCTTCCTCTTCTTCTGGTTCTGTGGGCTCCCGTCCATAGTTTCAAGAATATCGATTCCTCACTCAGTCGTAGGATTCGTAGGAGGAGAGTTCTTATACAACGATAACGATAACGATAACTGCCAACTGGCTGAGCGGCTTGGCCAAACCCCTCTCCCACCTTCTAGGCATGGCCAACATTCACGCCAGAGCATACCCCTGAATTTGCCCCTCATTAGAGGACACACAATACCATGTGCAAAAGCAAGACACAAGCCAAAAGTGTCCAACCAGCCAAAAAAACCTACATGCGGAGTACCATCTTGACAAGAGCCATAGCTAGACAAAACCTGACAAATCCACTCCCCCCCGCTTATTCCAGACAATTGTTGAAGCATTTGCAAAAGCACTCCTATCATAACTTGCGTTTTACAAAATCGAAGAAATGCGAAACTCTTTAGCAATTTGACATATTTTCGATCTCGCTGCTTTTCCAGGTCTTCAGTATTTTACAGCGTATTAAGGTGGTAAGGACAGCAGGCTTGGCTTGCAGCTGAGCCCTCAGCAAGTTTGCGAAGTTGGGAACCGACAGCTCAACGATTGCATTCAACACCTCAGTCAAGTGAGTGGTCCGACTGGTTCGAAGCAATCCCTTGACCATCCAGCAAGAAGGTAAGCTTCCTGCCAAAAACACATCGAAAATGTTCCACAGTTTATCCTTGAGACAGGGTGAAATACAAAAGCAAGCCGCAATAGAAGCAGCAGGTATTCTCATAGAGCCAAGTCTCTTCACCTGTAAAGAACCAGGACCGCTCAGCGAGAATCCGAATTACGAGCTCCAGGCTGAACCTTAAGTTCTGCAAAGGCAGAATTCAAGCACTGGAAGTAGGGGAAGTCTTGCGAGCATCCGGCCACACCGCAAACAGAATGTCTGGATAAATTGGAGCTTGGTAATGTGCCAGTCCTTTGCCATGACCATGAAGGAGAGGAGACCGTTTGGCGAGCAGACTGCTGAAATGGAGGAATACCCCTTCCAAGACTCCAATCATGCGGTTGTAGCTGTTCTTCAAGTGGGAGTCCGCCACGGCTCCTGGGCAGGGCTGCTGCCAAAAAGATGACAAGCTGACAAAACGCAAACCTGGCGGTCTGAATCATGAAGCTTTCTGCAAAACTGGAAAAGTTGTGGCCAGGGAGCCGATATAAACTGTGTTGGCCTGTCAAACGAAGCTTCAAATTCTGTGGGCTCCTGGATGCTTTTCTCAAACTTTCTTCCATCCAAGCAGCACCAATGGCCAGCACGCTGATGGTCTTGAAAAGCAAGCCGTCTGCAAACCGCTGTATGATGTTCCCACGGCCTGCCAAGAAATGACATAAAAGAAACTGTCGATGCTGGGGGCGCCTGCTTGCGGCTTGGCTCGGTTGCTTGGCTTGCCTGGCACCGCACAGCACTCGCCGCGGATCATCTGCAGTACTTCTGGCATGCTCCAGCGCGTGTTCCTTGGAATGGCACAAGCTGGCAAAGCTTATCGGACCTCTTCGTGTGAAAAGAAACTGTGCCACTTTGAAGCAAGAATCTCCCCAGGGAAGACGGTGGGGCTTTTCAACATGCCAATCCTTGCAGAGGGAGCATTGAGAGAAGGAAACCGTCCAAAGCTGATGGAAACGGCGCAATAGATGAATAAAGTCCTGAGCCCCGACAATGTCTCCACCTCTGGTGGTCCGTCATCTGGACCAGAGTCCAGGCGCTCCTAACACGCTTCGAAGCGTTGGCGAAAAATCGCTCGACTGATCATCAATCTTTCAAGGACAACTTGCTATGCCTCAGTGCTGCCTTGTTGCTTTTTGCACGTCGGACTTTGCTGGGCTAGCAGACTGCTTGGAATCGTCCCACGCCGGCTTTGTGCCTTATACCACTGCGTTTGCACGGGGTAGCTGGCACTTGTCATTGCGGCAAGCTTTGGCTGAATGCATGCTGCACGGCTGCAAACAATGTGATCGAAAGAGACGCGTGGCCCGCTTGGTTTTGCGGGCGATTCTGCAGGGACGATGCAGTGCTCAAGATCAATTTCTGAATCTGAAGCAACAAAATGCGACCTGGGGCAAACGGATGATCGATCTCTAGGACGTCTGTCTCCAGATTGTCCTGCTTCAGAACAGTCCAGAAGGCCGCGCAACCCCGGGAGTAAACGAGGACAAGTTCAAAAAAGAACCGGCGCTGGGATGCGCTGGGTGACCTAGAGCGGTGTCCCCTACACCATCCCAGAACAACCCTGTCTCTCCAATAGAATGGCTCTGCCTAAAGCTCTGGCCAGCTCTTGTGGGAGGTCCTTCCGACTCCCCAGCGTTGCTGACAGATTGTTGCTAAGTGTTTGCACCTCCTTGTCCAATCGCTTGTTTTCCTGCATGCAAAACAGTCTCAACTAGCAGGTGGCATTGCCGGCTTGCACAGAAACTCTCCTCTATCAAATCCTGACACTCCTGTGTCAGGTCTACAAGGCAGCGATGTAGGCGGCTGCCAGCCATGGCTATGCAAACCTCCTGCCGCAATGCCCTCGATACAAGCGTCTACGCAGTCTGTCAGCATATCCGGTCGGAAGCACATGCCTGGAGGTCTGATTTGTGGCAGCTTAGGGCTGGATATGAGGCGCGCAGCACAAGCACGCATCTGATACTATATGAATATGAAGCATGAAAAACCCAAATGCTAAGTAGCTGATGAGCCACGAAGATAGACCGCATGGGAAGCACAAAGCATCTTGAGCTAGTAGCGGGCCGAAAAACCCTAACTTAAGATGCGTAGAGAAAGTACTTCTAAACTTCACCAACTTTGGCCTTGCCATGACTTGCCTACTCAATTTATGTTCAGGCCTTCGGACGTGCAAGGCACTGACCTTGCCGCATGAGTGACAGGTGCTCAAGCCTCAGCAAGACACTGAGAGTGAAGGACGATTGCAAAAGACCTGGACGTCTAGGCTCACCGCAATTCCGTCTTAACTGCTTCTTCGAGGTGAGCCTGACAAGCCACCTGAATTTAGATTCATAGGGGTCATCTCATGCCAGCACTAGCCTGGAAATGCAAAAACGGGAACCCAGGCCTGCATGCTGTCTCCCATCAGGGCCTGGTCACAAGCTGTCTCACCGCACAGTCGTGTGCGAAACGCTAAAATCTCAAGCAGACATGTGGGGGAGAACATCCTCCCTCTCTGGCCTGCTCAACAAGCGGATCTATATCCAAATCCGGCTCCAGGACCGTGCTCAGGGCTTCATTCGCCTAGCAAGTCGTTCTTGAGCATCTACGATGCTATGGAAATGTGTTGCACATGTTCAAGGTCAACACTGTAGCCCGGTGGCAAGCCCGGATGATACTTCACGCTTCTTACCAGGTGAAGCTCTGCTTGTCCACAGCCTGCCCTTCATCTGTGGCAGCTTCCTGTTTCAGACGAGCACGTGTAAGAAGCCACCTCTGCAGCCGTCGAAGCTGCCGCAGCCCTCGCCAAAATCTTGTCAGGTAACACCTGGACCGAGCCGAACAGGTTGCGTGAGCACGCCTTCGCGGTCACTCTGAGCTTCCAACCCATTGTGTGGACCTGAACATGATCAAATCATGCGACATGCGAAGCTTACGCGCAACAGGCCAAAGGTTAACTGCGTGACATGGTGAGAACTCTCTCGGCAAGGATGGCTAACCGGTTCCAGTCATTGCTTCGGGTGATTTGAACCCATCACCTCCTTTGCCTCCTTTCTTCTGTGCCTCGCTGGGATGGTGTCTCTCTTCTTCTATAGACTCTGACTGTGAACTCCCCTTGCGGGAAGTCCTGCTACTATGCTCCGAGCCTGCTTCCTCCAGGCAGGCCCGTGGAGGGGAATACCGAACATGAAGAGAACCCTCTGTCAGCGCCACATGCTTTCGTGTCCCTGTGCCCTCAACTCTCTCTTCCGCTCCCGCTCCCTCTCCCCAGCCTCCTGTTCCTCCCCCCTCCCTGCTCCAGACTCGAGAAGCGCGGAAAATGCTCCTTTCGGATTTCTAGCGGAGCCAGCAAACCAGCATCCAGCCACTCCACCTTTATCAGATTTTGTGAATCTATCTCGGCTACAATTTTGTTTTTTGTTTGTTGAACAACGTACAACGGAAGACTTGCATCTGGGCTGTGATGCGACCACCCCTGTAAGCCCAAGACACATCAGCGGCTTCCGCAACGTGGTTGCGCCAAGTTGCCAGCATTTCAACCTGAGACGAGAAACTTTCAGATCCCGAACATCCGACTGGTTCTTCTGGTAGGGAATTAGGGAATGTAATCCCTATATAATCTCTAGATCTAGACTACTATTCCCATATATTCCTACTATACCCCCCAGTAAAACATGTGTCACTCGACGTCCAGGAGACAAAGCTCAAGAGGCTCTCTGAAGATGTAGAGATGTACCATCTGTTGCTGCTGGATCTCAACTTTGGGTAGCTTTGGGTGAGGATATTGATCATCAAAGCAAACTCGAGCATCATTAGCGATCATAAGGATCTTCTTTCACCCTGCCATGGCCCTGGCATCGGCTGAGTTCAAAGGAGGGACCTGAGTTCTGATGTCACTGTGACATCAACCAGGCAAGGCCCAACTTGCTGGGAAGCAGTTTCCTGAGCCCAGGACTATGTTCCGAACTGCCCTGCGAAGACCGGCACCTGCTCAAGGAGCAAGGTCCAGCACAGCTCTCCAAACAAGCTGAGACCGCCTGATTGCAGGCTTCCTGAGCGACTTTGTGGTACACCAAGACCCTGCCAAAAGGATGCACCTCCGTGGCGGACAAAGCTTGGGTCCAGGGCCCTGGGTAGCATCAAACTGTGGCCATCGGATGGAATTTTTGCTGCGACTGGCTTTTGTTGGCTGGGGGCGCGTTGAGGAAGGCCCAAACTGTGAGGACGTTCCACATGAAAACTCAATTTCGAACCAAATTGAAAGACACCCCGCGCGATAGTTCCATGTGGTGTCGAAATGTGAAAAATTCATGTGAGAGCTGAGTTTCGAGCTCTGAAATTTCAGGACGCTCTACTGCATCCGTTTTATCCTGAGTCCTGATTTCCGGGCCAGGGTGATTTTAAGCGCCCGGTTCGGCGTGCACTGCCCTAAATCTACCTCAAGGACTAGACTGCACGTATGGATGGTAGGGCTGCAATGGAGCACTCAGTGCAATTGCCAGCACAGCTCCAAGGGCTCCATGACATCCTACCTTCAGAACCCCCGCTCAATGCTTTATGGGCGGATAATGCTGCTCATCGCATGTCCGCACTTTCAGGGCCCAACAATAACGCAGGAAACCGTGGAACAGCTCAAGTATCCATCTGGGCTGCTCACTGGCAGAGGTAGGCGATGCAGATACCGCATATGCTGAAAAACATCTGCGCGAGGATTGGGTAGGAAACTAGAAGCAAAGGTTTTTGATCTACCTTAATCACGAAGTGCAGTCTGGAAGCAGTCAAAATGTTGTCCATCAAGCATGCATCCAACCCCTTACTTACCCCACAAGCCGAAAAGCTTCACACCAGCCTGAGCTTGCACACTGCGCGGCCACCTGCGAGGGTGTTTGCCATTCCTCAAGAGACCACACCACGCAGTGAGTTCTGAAGTCCATGATTCTGAGGCTGCTGCGGGCCATTCTCCACCTAAGCATGTAGCTCGATGCAGTCTCTGCGCTGTGGTGACGGTTGTCGGCCTTCGCTGCCCGCAATCAGAAACCTCGGTGCAAAAAAAAACTCCCAACTTGACAAGCAAGCTATGGCAACACAAGCGCAGTGAAATGACCAGTGGATGGCTCAGTGTTGCAGCTGTCAAACTCAGGGGGACAGGTGCTGATGCTTGATGGCAGGAGACTCACAAGGCAACCTTCCACATTGGATCTGCATGACGGGCGTAGCAAACTTGATGCACTCCGATTGGCAGGGATGATGAAAGGCGAGGAAGATTCAGAGGATACCGCTCGGTGCCGATAAGAGCAGAAGAGCGCACCAATACAGAGGCGACAGACGCTTCGGACAGTCGTGAAAGATGATTGTAGTGAGAGAGCTATGAAGAACAGAGTAAGATGATGCATGTGACAAGGAAGAGAACGGCGACGGAAACGACGGCGATGAAGCCGATGTTGATGCTGGCAGTAGTGGTGGTGGCGGCGGCGGTGTCGGTGGCGTTGGGGCTAGTGTTGGCGCTGTTGTTGTTCTTCTTCTTATTCTTATTGTTCTTATTCTTCTTCTTGTTCTTGTTGTTCTTGTTGCTGCTGGAGTTGGTGTTGTTGTTGTTGGCGGTGGTGGTGGTTGTGGTGGTGGCGGCGGCGGCAGTGGTGGTGGGGTTGGGGGTGGTGGTGGCAGTGGTGGGGTTGGGGGTGGTGGTGGGGGTGGTGGCGGTGGTGGTGGGGGTGGTGGCGGTGGTGGTGGGGGTGCGGGTTGGGGGTGAGGAGGGAATTGTTGTGTAACTGAGGAGAGCATGGTGGCACAGAGGCAGCTGAAGAAAGATGGCACATGTTGAGATTTGCAGAGAAGCTAGCAGCTATGATGAGTCATCAGAATTGCGCAGAAAGTTGATCATACGTGGGGCCGATGCTCAGGCTAATGCTGAGGTGATAGTGACTTGCGCCATAACTCCCGCTACAAGGATTGAAGCCGCAATGCAATGGAGAAACGCCTCAGGGGAGCTGCTTGTTGTCAAGGAGAAAGACAGTCCCACCAACCTTGTCAAAAATGACACTCGAATGTCATTGGTGGGAATGAACTGGCGGTGATGATGATGGCGGTGAGGGTGATGATAAGGGGCAGGATTCATGATGAACCTGATGCTCATGAAGCTGAGGCTGCTGGTGCTAATGATAAAAGCGCGGATGGGACAGAGATGCCTCTGTTCCGTCCCCACTTCCAACAGTAAGGTTCCTGTGAGGCTTTCAGGCCTCCTTGCCATCCGGCAAGCTCTTGGTACATCAGGGCCTTCTCGCTCTTCTTGTTGCTAGCAAACAACGTAGTTTTAAGGATCCTGCTGTCCCGTTGGCTTGCACAGGTTGGTCTGCACCTGAAAGGTAAACTTTCAGCAAATACCGCGCCCTCACTGGTTCTGTAGCAAAGTGCACTGTCGAGTTGCGACCCCACAAGAAGAACTGCAACTGCCGCAACAAATGCATCTTTGGGCTGAAGCTTCCCTGGTACAGCTCACACGCGATAGGAGTCTGTACAACAGCTCCAGGAAATACCAAAGAACCTGCGTGTGGAATCCTTCTCTGATATTTCATCAGAGAACATCGTGCAGAATCACATGGCTCAAGCTTGAGAACTGTACAGGAAGTCCAGGAAAAGCTCCAAAGGGTATGTGTGGCATTCTTCTTGCAATTTCAAGGCGCCAAGCAAGCAATTTGCGTCCTGACTGCGTCGGTTAAGCCCAGAAATCGGAAATAGTAGCGACATGCATGTCAGCTTCAAACTCAAACGCTATTGCTTGCGTGCCCTTGTGCTAGGGAATTTAACGCCATCAACAAAAAGCCAAGCAGCCGCGGATGACACTCCAATGCACTGCATGACCTTGGTCTTGTCGAGCTTTGGCATCGCAGTAGGCAGCTTTCAGCAGCTGAACAGGCTCACTGTGTCAGCTTGCTGCTGCTGCAGGCCGAGGCTTTTTCACACTCTAGTTGCGCAAGACCGTTCATTCACATGAGCCTGTTAAGTAACCAGACTCTCGGAGAATGGACAACAACACAGTGATCCTAAAACCGATGACCTCATAGAAGGCATCTTTAGCATTAACTCCTACACTGTGGAAATCAGAGTCAGGCTTGGTTGGCATTGAGCAACTTGAACATTTTCATACATGGGTCCTCATGAAACATCAACAATGCGAATCCAGGGCCTAGACCTCTGCAAAGGGATCTCCAAGAAATCTTGAGGCATGGCACAGGCATACTTGGATGTGTTCCACCCTGCCATGCTCTACATGCCTGGAGTCTGAAGGCTTGGGGGCTGAAGCTAGACAGTTTGGGGCTTGGGCTTAGCTTCACAATGCGACCGCTGTTTCAAAGACATCGTGGGGCCATCAGCCGAGAAGCTTTCAGCAGCTGATCTGCTGAAAAGGACTGTGTGGAGCTGGCCTTGCCTGATAAAGACAGGGATTTCATCTGGAATGGCGACTCAAATGGAAAAGTAAAGAAAGCTTGAATGGGAACTGGGGCTATTTAATGTCGGATCCGGTTTAGCATAGGGATCCGTACTAATATTTTTTTTCCGGGAAATTATTCCGGATCTGCTGTTGTTTGTAAAATTTTCTGTGACCAAAAATGTGAAATACCTGTTTTTGCTACTTAGGTTAGGTTTGCTTTCAAGGCCTTAAAGGATTTTAATCCTAGAGTCCAAGAGCTCTAGGATCACAGCTTTTACATATAAGGCCTGATATTAGAGAATCCAAAAATCTGTCATCTCAGAGACCCCAGCTCCCTTTAAACCGCTTTTTCGGTATTATTAGAAATCATTGGGTCAATCAATTTTTGTGGGGGGGTAGTCCAGCAGAGGCCCGGATCCTCAATAAGGAACTGCTTTAGGGGTCCGGAATAATAATTCATTCCGCCAGCCGTCCATATTTTCAGTTTTTAAAGGATTTTCAATCGGTTTCAATTGATTTCAATTGGATATACTTGAATCTACATGGATTTTAAGTGGATTTCCCATAGAATTTGGTTAGGTTCAAATAAATCACAATTGGATTTCAATTGATTTGAGCTAGATTTCAATATGTTTCAATCGGATTTCAATTGAATTTGGTTTAAGTGTACTTAGATTAGAAAGTGGTTTACATTCGATTGTCAGTTGGTTTTGAGTTGTTTGAACTTGATTTTACTTGACCCTTACTTGATCTGAAATATGTTTCCAGTTGAATTTGATTAGGTTTTAAGTAAGATGTTAGACTTCAATTGGTTTGAATTAGGTTTTTAATCAGTTGCAATTGGTTTTCTAATTAGATTTTATTTGCACAGAACTAGATGTATATTTGTTTTGAACAGCCTTCCAATTGCTTCAATAGGGGTTTGAATAGGTTTCAATGCTAAATGTAGTGCCAGGCCGGTACTTACACTAATACGAAATCAATAACTACCAGCTTCAAGGCTACTACCAAGATTCCAGGTGTTTATCGAGTTTAATTGCGCGGCAAATTTGGGGGGGTGGCCGAATACTAAAGTGGAATACCAATTGTTCACGGGGGGGGACCCCCGTATACTAAACAGGGTCCAACATTACAAGGAAAGCAAGAGCATAACAAGCTGCATTTCCTAGGCAAGCGGCAGAATGCCAACTCCACTTTCTGACGCCCTGCTGTCTGCACTTTCAGGAGCCTTGCCAAGCAAAGGCTGCGGGCCGAGGTAAGGTGTTGAGGTAACTATCTGGCTTTGCCATCATGCCAGGCGCAGACAGCATCTGTTGAGATATGCTACATACTTACTTTGGTCCTGATGCTTGGGTTTTTCCACATCTCTCAACAAGCTCAGCCACGGGAACATTTCCGCCACCTGCATTCGCCGAGGCACGGATGATTCTTAAAGCTTGCCGCTGAAGCTCGTTTTTCTGGCTCCTCATTAAGCTTTCGCATGTGTGGGGAAAGGGTTGCAGACCAGGGGGCATCTTGCCACGAACAAGGCATTCTATTATCTTCTGCTCGCGGCACCTTTTGGAGGAGCTCCCCCAAAAGATTGACAAGTGATTCATCCAGCAGCGCAGCACCCTGTGTCCCAGCCACCAAGCTTGACAAGTCAACTGGCTCTGCAGCTGCCAGCCATCCTCGGTTCAGCGCCATTGATCAAAGGGGTAGCTGCTTGACTCGAGATTTCTGATCCGATGCCTGAGCCGCCTGAGCAGTCTACACCTTGTCGTTTTTGCCGACTGAGCAGTCTACACCTTGTCGTTTTTGCGACATCATAACTGTCAGGCATAGGGGCTCCACAAGGACCCTCATGATGCCAAAACTTGCGAATGCGATTTCTCTTTTTTGAGTAATACAGGAATCCTGACATCCAAACAGCCTGATACAGCGCTGAAAGGACGGATCGAAAGCCGAGGAGCATATCCCCACAGAGCTTCAACCCCAACTTCACGGACGGGTGAAGAAAGCTTTACGCCACTTCATGGGTGCATTACAGAGCTTATGGGGGTGTGGGGGCCTGCGATGATCCTTGCTTCTAAGAAGCCATGGGTCAAAACAACTTCCAGCAGGGTTTTTCAAGAGGCTGCCCAGAAGGGACTAAACAGTGCCCAATGAATTCAAATTGCTCGTGTGAAGTGTTTTGGCACTTGGCTGTGATTTTGCTGGAGGCTAAGATGCGCCAAAGCCGCGATACCAGCCCTCGAAGGGAATGGCCTCCTCGCTGAACAAAGCGGCCAGATCCAAAGAGGCCTCTACAAACAAGGGCATCGCTCGAGAAACCTTTGCAAATCAGGCCCACCTTTGTCTCCGCAAAGCAGCAGCCCTGCACCAGAATGTCCAGCATGACAACCTTGCTGATTATGGGCGAGACTTACAGCACCTATAAATGTGGTCAGCATGCTTTGCAGAGATGCCAATTTGACAGACTCGTATGTAACCCAAAGCGTCAGAGTAGTTCGGAATGACAAGTCTAGGACATTGATGCAAGAACAGTGCGGTACCGCTTCCTTGTACTTCAGTAGGTCAAGCTGGGCTACGAGACATTGCCTGAAAACACTCGCAGTTTGGATTTTTCTTAGGACATCTTCGTCGACTTGGCATCTCAAGGCGGGACGCCCCAGCCGCCCAAAGGTCCATAGAGGGGCATGCACGGATATTGTGCTTATGGCCCGGCTGAATCTCCGAAAGGATAACCTTCGCGAACTCTGGACTGGTGTAGAGTGGTGTGCAGCTGTCAGACGGGACGACGTCATCTACTGAGAGACAGCCCGCAAGGTCGATGAGCTTCCATCTGGATCCAAAGCGCATGAGGTTTTCAGGCTTGACATCCAAGTGCACGAAGCCCAGGCCGTGTAGGAATTCCAATCCCGTCAGGAGGGATCTGGCAATCTTGCAGAAGTCGGGCATGCGAAGGAGTTTAGTTGTTCTCAACCAAATGTCCAAGTTTTCGTCGCCCAGCTCCAATATTGTGTAGAACTTCTTGTCATCTGCTGGACCTGGCATTCCATCGCCATCTTTGGAGAAGTCGAACAAATTAACGAAGAAATGCTTCGGATTCCGCTCATTGGCTGTCACATGTACCGTGCCAGGCTCCAAACTCAATTGCTTGAACATCATGACTTCCTTGTGAAAGCGTCGATGCAGGCCCTCGCATGCCTGGCCATCTGGTGACGCCGTCTTTCGAAAAGTCTTCACAGCGACCCAGGAACCATCGCTTGCTCTTGCCTTGTACACGATGCACCAGCCACCTTCCCCAAGCACAGCATCACTGGTCCAACCTGAAGATTGTGGTGTGGGATGTGGGGGATCTGATTAATGGTGTCTTGGACCTTGAACTACTGTACGGCAACCGAGTGACGGTAGTGCCCTAGCAAGTCAACCGAAGTGCCCGAGGACATGAGCTGGGCAGCGATGGGCAATGGCAGTTGGCTGGGTCATGCGGCATGGCCCAGGAGTTAATCGAAGTGCTTCTACAATTCCTCTTGGTCACTTCACCGGGTCGCATGCTTTAGACAACATTTTTGTGTAAGTTCGTTCTTGCTGGTGCGCCAAGCTAGCGGCGTGATGACTTTCTACGTAACAGATGTCAGCCATCTCGACTTTGGGCTGGGGATGCCATCCCGCCGCAACACGAACAAAAGCTTCACAGCACATGGCCATGCAAGCTGGCATTTCAGCACCACGCCCAACTCTCGCTCATAAAGTCGGATGGGTGCAGCAGTGCTGCCACGCGTAGTAAGAAGGCAGCCTCATGCGGGAAGGCTCGCCCCTATCGACAAAATCAAAGCACTCACAAAACACGAGCCCAGGTCCATGCCACTCTCAGTAGCAAATAAGCATCAGCCGCAGCATAGGCAACCTCGGATCTCAACACATCCACATCAAAACTTAGAGGAACCAACCCACAGGTCCGGCCTGGATTGGAGCAAGCGGACGCTGCCGCCAGTCAGAGCACTGAAGTCGCATCTTGAGGCTGGCCGTAGCGTGCACGTTGCAAAATTTCGACCTAAATGTGTGATCATGTGCTGGTTGATGAACTTAGCATGCCTGTCTTGCATTGTAATCTCTTCGGCCCCGGCCATTGATCGGTCAGTCTCTGGACAGGACAGCTGATAAGAAGGGCCAATGCCTGAGCAGACCACATGATCTTCAAACCCAATGTTTGCGTTGCGCTGCCTGGGTGTCGAGTGCACACCTCCAGTCTGACGGGTCTCGAATTCAAGTATCTAGAAATCGAAGGAGCCCCTTTCAGGCCTGAGGCTGATTGAGAACTCCTGAGCTCAGCAGAGCGAAAGCACCGTGAGCCGGTGCTTGCACCAGTCGGCGTCCTCCCGCAACCACAGGATGTCGTTGGCAGCTGCATGAAGGATCTTCCGCGCAGGTTGAATTGAAGTCAAAGGAAGTCGATGCCACGCTGAGATCCGCCTTGAGGATCTGCAGACTCTCCAGGACCTGCCAGATTGGGTCTGATGAGTGAGCAATTGCGGCTTGAATGACAAAACAACCCAAGGCCTCGATGTCTATTTACTAGCAATGATGAATTGAAATGTCCATTCAAATTCTGTTGATGGTGTGAAGATATTGATCTTCAAATTGAGCCTTTTCTGGTGGTGGTGCATTTTCTATTGCTGCTAGTGCAGCTAGCATAGTAGCTCCTCAGCTGCTCCAAAAGCCATTCAAGTCCACCAAGCCTCGCCAACATGGCGCTTCACCTGCAAGCATGCCGCCTATCCATGCTCACTCGGATTCCGTCAGATTGTTTCTTCTCTCTTTTTCTACTGCTCCGAATGGAGCTTTCGCAGTGCACCATACAGTGACCATACAACTGTTCTTCACGGCCTCTGCAGGCGAAAGGCGCAAGCAGTCCAGCAGGAACACCTTCCCACCGGCCTCCACGCAGATGGCTGCATGGCTGCATGGCTGCATGGCTGCAAGATGCTAGGAGCATCATCGAAAGTCCTGCTATGCCAAGCCTTTGCTGTGGAGAGCTGGATCAGGCACACATAACCTGCAAGGGCCGGTCTCCATGTGCAGGGCCAGAATAAAGCCACCGTTGTTTGGCCGCCTCTGTAAGATTGAAGCCAATGGCGCTCAACCTGTTTGTGCTGAGCATGAAGCGAACGGTATGCAGGAGCTTCTATATTCCAAGTCTCTGTCATCAACACCGACTGCAGAGCTGCTGCATAGCATATGACCACAACGCTGCAGGGCAGCCAGCGTGTCAACCTCAGAAGCTTTGAAATAATCACAGGCTTTGTCATTGACAGGCTCCGCACAATTTCGACGCAGCTGTTCAAGGGCCGGGTCGTCTCCAAGTCGGCCGCCTCACCGGACTTGAGGCTTCACATTAATGCTCTGAAGCTGGGTGTGATGTGTGATCTAGCCGCTGCAGCGACAAAGAATCCTTAAGAAGGGTGAGCTTGCCTCCAAGCAGAGCAGGAGCTCCCTCAACCTCCCACAGCGGCTTGCCTAAGTCAGACAGTTTACAAGCCGAGACTGAGACAGGCAATGCAACAGAAGTCAAGACGCCTGGTACCCATGCAGGGCATTCCGCAGTTCGTCGGCATGCATACTGATGCACAAATCCGAATGATGCATGATCTGAAGGGTTTCCACGTTGGCTACATGGTGTGCTGAAGTGCTGTTTTATTCACTTGAGCCAATACGAACACCAGTAGATAAGGTCCGGTCTTGCACCGCATCCTAAGCGAGCATCATACTCATACCAGGCATACCACCTCTCATTTCCACAACCTTTGCATGTCTGGATGGCTGGCATTCGTCTCAGTTGGCCTTGCCACTGGTGATTGACTTGACATAGGATGCCTCAGATAGCTGCCCGTGTACATCCCTCTGCCTTGACACTGAAGGCAGGGGCTGAATGCGGCTTGTTACCAATGCCCTGCAAGTACGGCTCGTATTAAAATCATGTAGGCTAGACAGAACACGTGCGCTTTGGGAGCTAGTGGTTTCGCACACCGTTGCCTTCAGGCAACAAGTGACTGCTTGCAGCTTGCCAAGCCACGAGTATTCAAGCATTGTAAGCAAGGCACACAAACTTTTGCCACATCCCACTTGTACTGTGGAAGGACGGCCTGAAAGCGGTAAACGTAGTACAGCACCTGGCGCATCAAATGGATCGGCCAGGTTTGGACTCAGCGGAGCTTAGCTTTGCTGTCAGGCACCCACGAGCAGGTCACCAAGATCAAGAGGAACGACCTGACATGATCGAGGGATATTGAGGGGATGTGGTTGAACCGCCGCGGCGGTACATGGTATTCGGCCAGCCCTGAGAAGAGGACGACAGGAAAACACGGTAGTTTGCGGGCTCTTTCCTTAAAGTAGCAGGAGGAATTGGACTGGCAACCTCTTCATCAGCAAAACCTCTTCTTGCCAAAGGCTCCTCTGCCAAGGCTGGATTAAGGTATTTTGCGTTGCACGCTTGTTCCTGTCAGGCACCACGCCTGCGTACAGAGTATCCTTCAAGAGGAGGATAAACTCGAGTGCCACCTGCACAGAGCTTGCCTGTAACACTTGGAATCTGGACTGTGCAAGCTGCGAACTTCTGACAGAAGCCAGGGCACAGCGTTGAGCAAGAGATCTCCGAAGCTGGGCGTAGCTGCAAGCCAGCGGCATCCGAGCCAAAGCAGGTAAACGTCAATGAGGTAGCGAGGGATGATGCAGGATACCATGAGCACAGATTTAAGTGTGGCAGTCAGGCCGACAACCACTTCGCATTCGCCTTCTCCCTCTACAATAGCGTCACGCATTGAAGTGATCCTGTCTGAGCCGCAAGCACAGGTTCAAGGCAACTGCGGTGCCACGATGCTTTGATTCGACAAAAAGGCACAAACGAGAAAATCTTCTCTTGTCGGCTAGCCGCGTTGGGGTGGCAAGGATCAAGCGCACGAAAAGGTCACCGCAGCGGCGGAGGTCCGCTACAATTGTCAGGGTCCAGATGAACCTAAAGTTGACACTTCTTTTCTCGATTCAGATTCTATATTTGCAGTCGGGCAACAAGATAGGAAGCAAGAGCTGAGGCTGAGAGAACCTCAGTGCTCACTGAGACCACTGTGACTGCGAGGTGCAACACTCATGATCTCACATGCTCTCAGCTGAAGTTCAGAGACCAGCAACGGGATTCTGCATGCCGATGCCTGCTCACTTTCACTGAGGCGTCCGAAGTTTGCTGGGTCAAAATACTTTGGATCAACCCCGCGCGGAAAACCATTTTCGGTCAGGTAGATGTGTGACATCTCTGCGCCGTACATGACGAACTCATAGCGCCCGTAGATCTGTCGAATTTCTGTCACTGCACGGCTTGCCACAAGCTTCTGCATCTGCAGGATGATGAAGATCTGCAGGAAGACAACGAAAAGCATGAGCAGGAAAGAGCTTGACAAACGCGAGATACGAAGTATGAGGCTGCCCTTGCCTTCCACCAGGCTGTAAGAATCCCGTACTAAGGTGGCAACTCCTGCGCCGTACACATCCTCATCCACATTCTCAGGCTCTCTGTCAACAATCTCCCCATCGGAGGATGGATACCGTCTCTCGTAATAGCGCAGCACAACAACAGCCGCAAGACCAGCTACGAAGGATCCTGGAGCAATGACTCCCAAAACGTACGCCTCTGGGCCAAACATCGGTTTAGGTGGAAGGGGAGGCTTGTCTGATGGCTCCACAGCCAATACATTGTCACTTCGCTTCAAGAACTCCGACCCTGTCTGCGCGAGCAGGGAAAGGAGCAAAACGCCGGCATGCGGGATCTTCATTGCCTTTCTGCTGATTCACAAACTTGAACCAGACTGTACAGAAAAAAAGTAGTTCGGGAACTGATGCAATGCTCTAGCAAATCAAAACACGCAGATGCGAGTTGGGGGATGAGGATTGAGGGCTTTGCACTCATGATCAGGTGTCGACGGTCACGGGACCGTCCAAGACTGCATCTGAGAAGATTCCCATGTGGGAGGGCTTGAATGACTGCATGACGGATGGTCAGGAAGATCGAGATTCGGTCAGAGCATGATAAGCATGGATGTGTACCGGAAAGGGAAGGAAGACTGCTCCAGGCGTCGCTCCTTGCAAGTCAAGCACAACTACAGCAAAAGCACTTGTCAAGTACAGTAGGGGGAGATGTGCTTTCTGAGTTCATGGCAACAGGGATCCAACGACCGTGCATGTGCAGTCATGGTATTTGCACAAGTTCGACTTTTTGGACCTGCTGACAATTGGATCCAGGGCTGTAGGGGAGGGGAGGCCCAGTTCCAGACTGCAGGCCAACATGCTTATACGGGCCGATCATGGGAAGCAATTTGACTTGATGCCCTGCAATCTGGAGCCGTGCTGGGCAACGTGCTCAGAAGCCTAGCCGTGGCCTCTTCGCATCTGGGCCTGAATCCCTGTCCCGGCACCTCTTGGCAAAGGAGATGATCAGGGCCGAGTAGTCCGAGTCCTGCCGTTGAGGAGCAAATGTCCCCACAACCTCCTGCTGCACCCAGGGTGGAACAGACTTTAAGAAGTCAAATGCTCGCTCGTCCATTGGATATCTTCGACGGAACATATAAAGCGCCTCGTCATCGCCGTGAGATCCCGGCTCGAAGCTACCTCTGTAGCTTGAGCGGTCTCCTCTGAAACCCCGACTGGGAGGTGGCGGCGGGGGTGGCTGGTGCCGAGGCGGCTGCTGCCAAGGTGGTGGCTGCTGCCACGGAGGCTGCTGCCATGCCGGTCCCAAGTTATGAGGCGGTGCTTGATAGTCAGCCCCTCTCCCAATATGTGCTGAGCCTACTTGGGATGTCGGCCGCTCTCGCTCTCGCGTCTTTCTGCAGAAGCTGATCAGCAGTGCTGAGTAGTCAGCCTCACCCTCCCGTGGAGGTTTAAAACTCATCAGGACCTTCCTTCGAACTTCCGGTGCCGAGCTTTGCCTAAGTTAGGTTGCCAAGTGCGCGCAGTGAACGGCGAGCTGCTTTGCCAGGACACAAGTAGGTGTTCGTGTCGTCATCAAAAGGGTAGCGCTGGCGGAATGCTTCGTACTCCGTGCCTGTACGCTGCCGAAAGGCTTGCCGGATGTGAGGCTAGCTAGCTCTAACTGGCTTGCACACGCAGCACACAAACGGGTCGGCAGCGCCACTCGGACCACGAGCCGCATCCCATGAAGGAACTGCCTGATATGCGTCAAATGTGAGGAGGCCATATCAGCAGCTGTTGAAACATGAGCATCTGGGAATAGTTGGGCCACTGCGTTGCGACATCGCTTTGAAAATGTGATGAGCAGTGCAGAGTAATCCTGACATGCCGTGTCTTTGCTATCTTGTCTTGAAACACAGTTCGCAAACATCACTCACATGCGCACTGCCCAGCTGCATCCTCCTCGCCCTCTCTCGGCGGCTTGAAGTTGCGAACAATTTCTCTTTGTACATGAGGCGGTGATGAGACAATATATCGGTAAGCATCCTGGAAGCACGTAGGCACTTTGCACTTCGAGCAGTTCAAGGTCAACGGGGCAATCACCATCGTCCGCAACTCGCTCGCTCGCTAAGCATCTCTGCAATTCTCTTCTCTTCTTTTCATCTTCCTCTTCTTCTACTCTTTCTTTTGATGACTCAACCTCTCAGCTCTTCTCAGCCCTCAAGAGGCGAACCGCAGGGGCGTCTACGCGTCCCCGCGTCGTTGGGACCGCAAGGCCCAGAGTGTTCTCTCCCGTTTTCTCCAGACGAAGGCCCTCCACGCCACTCCCAGGCAGATACCACTCCGCCTGGGTCCTCTACTCTATCTACTCTAGCGGCTGCGACCCTTACTCATGTCGCTTCACCTTCAACACTGCTGCTTTTGCCGTCTGCACCCAAGAACTGTTCAGAAATGAATGCATGCTGCGCTGCTTGGGCGGCTACACCCGAAATGACGCGCGGTAGGACGAAAGTTCGACCCACTTGTTGCAGACATGCACTACAAGCAGACCTCTTCTCCCCCATAGACTCTTCCACTGAGCATTTTGGGGACTCCGCTGGTACCTTAAAGTAATATTAAGTTAAAACAGCGTACAAATTTACTCCGCAACATGGCCCATGCCCTGCGTACTCTTTCCCCTCATGTTGAGCCTCCGCACAAGCCCTGAGGCCCCAATAGGTCAAAAATGTATTCCTGTCGATGTATCAATTATTCTAATTTCTAGTGCTTATGCTTCTAATCCCACTGCAAAAATTTGTATCTCCTAGCGCATCACCATTTCTAACAAATACTTCATACTGTGTATCTAATGCTTCTTTAAACGCGCTACTGTTCTGAAACATAAAACGACCCCAACTAATAACATCACTTTCACCAACAATATCACCAATTGAAGTAACAATTTTGAATATGTACAACTGCTCTGTTTAATGTAATTCCGGGAACATCGTCTAATTGAAGACAAAACATCCCATTAGTAGGGTCAGTGGTTCCATCACTTTGAAGATTGAAATGAATTTGGTCTGTAGAAATAACATTTCACGAATTGAAAGCATCGATACGCTGAAATATTCTGGCATTCGTGTTTAATAATGGTTCTCCTAACACTTCTAAATCGGTTGCTACTCTCGCTTCATTAAAATTACTCAATCCAGCAACATTTGAAAAAATCAACTTGCATTCGGTGCTGTTCCCACACCCATTCTTTTGGTTCCCTCTGTTCCTACAAATAATTCACAATCGTCCGTTCGTTCTTCCAAATTTGCTAGCTCTAAATTCAAAAGCTCCTAATACTCTTAGTGTAGAATCAGTTGTTGCTGATGGTCTGACTATGTCGCTCCTGTTCCTTTTACAACCATAACTCTTATCAAATCTAACCTTATAGCACTACGGACACCATCAAAATTAGACGTTCCCGCAACTGCCAAAAAACAACTAGAATCTGGAGCTGCTCCAATACCAACCCGTGCTGTTGAAGCTTTGCCTACCTGAACTTCACCACTTCCTATATTTTGTAATTGTATTTCCATACGTGCTCCTAAATTTTCGTTGGAACCATTGCCACAAGTAGACCTCTGCTTCAGAATTCCCATATAACTTGATTATCTTTAGTTTTCAAATTGTTTTCAATGTACAATTAGTGTCCCCATTTGCTCTTGATACATCTGCTCCTGCTGCAGAAACTAAAAGAGTAGCATTTAACACAACATCGCCGTCTGGGTTTAATTCCAAATTTGCTATACTATCATACCTTGTAGCGTTACATCTAATTTCATTTCCTTTTTACGTTATATAATTTGATTTCCGAATACTGCCACATCTCTGTTCCTGCTCCAACTTGATTAGACAAGGCAAGACCCGCTAATGGTTCAATATTAACTGTTGAGTCTTTTAATCTTCAGCCTGAATGGAGAAATGTTGGTGCTGAAATATCAATGACTGGTTTAAAACGAATTCTATCAGCAAATGTGAATTTATCCTCCCTTAATGATAAAGAATATCAATTTGTGTATCTATATAGCCACTGCTTCCTGCTCCTGCTATGAATCCATCTACCCCTGCTTTAGTGTAAATGTTATCTTTAACATATGTTTGACTTGCTATTGCTGATGTATAGTAATTTGCTAGCGTGGTGTCAATTTCTGTTCTATTGTAGAAATTTGTTGCTAATTCGCTGTTCGACTGGAAATTGTTAGTTGAATTTGTATCTCCATCTGTAATACCATGAAAATTCTAGAGTTGCTTTGTGTTTAAAACCGCTATATCATTTGCATGAGTAGCTATATCTTTAGTGTTCGCGTCTATCAATGATGTGTGAGATGTTAATGTATTGTTCTAACTTATGTCTTTGGAAATCAAAGGGGCTAAGCTATCATCTACATCTTGCTGTGAAATACCGCCGCCATTTGTATTAACATAATTTATTGTAGCGTATAAACCGCTTATTCATTCCACCGGTTAGAATAGTATCTGCTGTTCAGGTTTAGTGTTGTTTAATGTCAAGGCCACTATTAAATCAATTTAGATAACTAGTTTAACAATGTTTCATTACTTTTCTTCTTGTCGGTTTAGATATGCCTGATGCCGTTGAGTTGTGTTTGGGCTGCTTTATTTGCTCTTGCATAAAAAAAATCACCACATTCGCATCTCACCTTTTGGAATATATTCTTCACCTGCTGCTAAAAACTTTTTATGCACTGCACAATCTAAATGTCTTTGCTGATGTCCTCTTGCATAATTTACACCACATTCCCGCAGCAGCCTCGCAGGGCCTATGCACGGAACAAGGAGCGACTACGCAAGAAACTGACTCCTCGCTTCGAGCCGACACTTCCGCACAGCTCCATTCTCCCTCTCCCTCACCGTTCCTCTCCATAGACATGCTGTATGCTTGAGGGCACAGAATGGCACAAATAAAAGAGACTGACATTGGCCTCGTCGAAGGGATACCTGTCCCTGAAGACCTGTGCAGCAATCCCGAAGCATCGGCTGGCTATCAGATAGGCGGCACAGCGGCAGATCATGCTTGAATGCAGCTTTCAATGCGGCCACCCCTTGCCTGCAACTCTGTTTCAGTGAGGCACACGTCCTGCTCCACATCCAGATGTTGCAAATGCATAGGTGCCTGCATCAGAGGCAAAACAAAAATTTAGCGTTGTGACAACAGACACAGGATCTCTGTGCGGCACGAGGCGATTGAGCTGTTGCCGCTCTTTCACGGACCTGAGCTGCACATGCCTTTGGACGGTTGCTAATCATATCTGTGCGCCAAGTTTCTGCCGTCGCTTTTTGATAAATCCCATGATGAGTGCGGAGTAATCCTGCTGCAAAACGGATACACATGGCAGGCGCAACTCGCGGCAGCAATTGCAGTCATTGCACTTATAAGCCAGCAGACTAGCCGTCCTCTTCGCCCTCCTGCTTTGGCTTAAAGTCTCTCAAAAGTTCACGTTGAACCTTCGGCGGACACACATGGACGGAAGGCTTCAGTGAAAACGTCAGACTCGCGTACCACGTGCCTCAATGCTGGACTTCAGAACATAATTGTATGCCTCGATTCGGTTCAGCACACTTTACAAGTAGAGGGCCCGCTTCAGCATCAGAGCAAAGCATGCCGAGCCACATCCTCGTCGAAAGGATATCTGGATCGAAAGTGCTGCAGATCAAATAAAAGATCGTCGTCCATCCTGTCACAGCTCCAATGCTGGTCATATTGTAAGGACCGCAACATGCTTGGCAGCATTCAGGCCTCCTGACAGTCAAGTATCCCACTTCAATGCCATTGTCTGCTTATACTAGAACAAAGGCGCTGGGGCGAATTGCGCGTACTGCGTAGCATTGCATGCTAAACTCCCTGAGGTTTATGTGCTTGCTTGATTTCCCTTTGCTACTGTACCTGGGCCCTGCAGAAGCCCTTGAGCAAGCCGTTTTAACGTTTTGCAGTAAGCTCAAGGAGCAGGTCCTGATGCAAGGGGTATGGCATGCCTGCCCTCACACTGCCCCCCGTTTTCTCCAAATCCAGGCAGTCAGCATTTGGCACCAACGAGTTACAGCCCTCCACTGAGGAAACCCAGCTCGTCAAAGCAGCACGACACAACTGATCGCTTCCAAATCTCCTTGTCGCTTGGATCCCCTTCAGGCACCTGCGTCAAGCGAGCGTCTATGTCGGCTATGAGCATCTCGTCACCATCTGGCTCATCGTAAATGCCTTCAAGGAGTCGAGTGAGCGCCATTGGATAACCGAAAGGCCCTCCATCTCGCCCTTCCTTAGCAGCCTTTTCCCACAGCAAAGATAAAGCCAACTTAACCTCTTCCCAATCTGTGCTGCCCTCCCTTAAGCCCTGCATCCATTCTTTCCTTGCAGTCTCAGTACTCAACCTCCCCGAGAGCGCCTCTGCTGCTTCAAGCGTTTCGGCCTCTCCCCACTGCCATGCTGCCCGCAGAGTTGGCCCTTGGCGACTTCTCCAAGCCTGGCTGCGAGGATGTCTCCAACAGCCTGTTGAGTGACCAGAGTAGTCAGCAGCGAAGTTCCAACTTGAAATTGCAAAGGCCGCTGCAGCAAAAACCAGAATGGAAACCCTGATCCGCTTTGGAACCATTGTTCAGACTGCGTGGAGGCGCTAGGCTTTTCAGCTTACCTCGACTCTAGCCGAAACACACCGATTGCACCCACGTCATCCACAGAGATTAAGAGGAAACTGCAGTCATGTTGCAACATACCATGAACCTGCTTTCCATGCAGCTAGCGCCTTGGCCTTTTTTACCGACTGCCTCTGAAGTCTGGCGGGTGCAAAGGATGCGTCCGCGACACAATGATGACAGCGATGTGGGTGATCCGATGGCTTTCTGAGACCGGCGAGGAGACACCTTTCCCACCTTTCCAGTCGAGGTGTGTCTCCAGGACAGCGCGAAATGGAAGCCAGGTACCTCCGGCTTCCATTCTTGCCCCTCCAATCTGCGTCCTCTGCGTCTTAGCCACAAAAGCAGCTTCGGGTGCCACACAGTGATTCCCAGTACATATCGCACCGTGCTGCCATCGTTCCAAACTTCATGGTCATAGGCATCATCGAAAATCAATAGCTGACCAGCGTGAGTGTAGTTGATCGTTCTGTTCCCTACGCGTATTCGCGACTGATTGCGGGGTGGGACTTCCAATGCCAGGTGGATTGTCAAACGCCCATCGTTGCCGAGATGTGGAAGGATGCGTGTGCCAGGTGCCAGCGCATAGAAATTTACATACATTGGCGGCGGGGCCGCAGATGTGATTCCGGAACCTTCGCTGAGTGACTGCCACAAAGTGTAGTTCAACTCTCTGCGCCACCGCAAGACTTCACATGTGTATCTGGCACAACCCTGCAGACCACACCATCGTTCATTCCAACCCCCCCTTGCTGAGTGCATCAGATTCAGCCCCGTCCACTTAAAGCGCGAGCCAACGAAGAACCAATCGTTGGCAGCATCGTCAAAAGCCCCCGGGTCCCTGGCCAAGCAGCTCTGCAAATCAGACCGAATAAAGTGCACATGCGGAGAGCTGAGACTTCGAAGCCATTTAGGGACCTGCAGGTCATTGAGCGTCCACCATGGCTTCGTAGGCAGCTTAGGATGTTGCAGGTGCAAGTGTTCCATCGACAGTCCACAAGCCTTTGCATACCTGTCACCCTCTACCCAGCGACCAAGCTGTTTGCACAACAGCACAATTTTGGCATTGCACATTGGCCTGCCCAACAAGTCTTCTGCCTGGAGGAAGAGTGTCAGCGAGGTTTCAGCTGATTGGGGCTCGGTACGGCACAGGTCAAAAAGCGCATCAGCCAAACGAAGCACCGTGAGAGGAAACTCTGGCGTCGTTTTCGCCATGTCCATGGCCCCATGATGCACAGTCAGCAACGCCCGAAGGATGTCCTCAACCCCGGACTGCTTGTAAGCGCTTTGCAAGGCCTGGCCATACAGCGACAAGGCATCAGCGTGCCCGGACTGCCTCGCTTCGAAAGATGTGTCCATCTGCGCCCGCAGGCTCAACAGCCCAGTCACAGCCCCCTTGACGGGTGCCAGGATTTGCTGCGGCGTCTGTCGCAGAACATTCTCAAAGCGCCTGCGCTCGTTACCCACACTGGAGCTCAGGTCAAACGGTTCACAGCGAATGGCTTTGCCTTGCCAGGATAAGGCAAGAAAGGCGACAGCACAGCGAGATGAGCGTACCCCACTTTCTGCCAGCATCTGTCTTGTCTTGGCATACCGACCACGCAATCCTCAAAGCGCAGAACATCTGCCTAAGTTTGATTCGAAGGCCACCACGGACAATGTCTTGTTTCAAGCGTGCTTTGAACGTTGAGCTGCAAAGCCAGCGAGGCTGCGAGCCTGTTATCAAGACAAAAACAACTTTCAACATTCTCACACAAAAAAAAGACTGCCAGACGGATGAGGTCACAAACTCCCTCCTTGTTCTTGCTGGTCCGCACAGCACGGAGATTTCCGTTCCGCAAATCACTATTGGATGCCCACTGCTGCGCAGCATGTGACACTTGCATAGGTAACACTTTGAGGTAGCAGCGGGCTATCTTCAGAAGCTCACAAGATCTCGCAAGACCTGCATCTACACAGAACTTCCTGGGCATTGCCAGTGGTCCTGGGCGTGACCATAGTCGACAAGCCAAGCATGCATTTAATTCAAGCATTTCCAAACGTGGAAAGCATCAGTCCAAGAGCAAAATGCCCAATGCTACTGAGCAAAATGCCCTCAAAAAAACATCTTCACTTGAAGTGAAGTAATTGAAAGGAAAAGGGCTCTTCATCAGTTTTCAGCATCCACACGGCCAGTTGAAGGAGGCTCTCCTTGGAAAAGTCGTTGAGATCCCAAGCCTTTAAGCTAACAGCTGACAAAGGCTTGAAACCGGAGTGCAGAATGCGCTGATCTGTGGTCAAGCAGGATGTTCAAACTGCGAGCACTGCTTCTCAAAGCGTAGCACAAATAAATCGCTCACCGGAAAGCACTTCTGCTTACCCAGCAAAAATCGATTCCAAACCTGACCTGAAGGCAAACTGGCGCTGCGGAATTATCAGTCCATGGGAACAAGAACCCCACCCAACCAAAGTAGTAGGTGCCTAGAATCACGGCCATAACCAGCCAGCCGACACAAAATTTGTCAAGTGAGTGTCTGCTTTGTGCATCCAATGACACCGTTGCTATCTTCCTACGCTTGCCCCGACTACTTGACCTGCACGCCCCCGCCATCCGAATCCGCGAAACTTGTTGAACCCACATCCAAGCCTCTAAACCTCAAAGCCAACAATACCCTGCAGTTTGGCATGGCATCACAGATGACAGATGGGAAGCAGAGCCTGCGATGCATTGCAGACGGCTACATGCTTTACAAGCCAAGGAGCAGCTACCGCCCAGCTTCTTCATCTTGCGGGATCGTCAAAACCTGACTGGCCCCTTCCCTAGCCAGCAACGCTGCAAGAACCGATCAAGCTGCGGACCGGAACATCATTCACAAAGGAGGGCAGGTAGCTGCCATCTTCAAGTTTGACCTTGCCATGCGTCAGCAGCTGCATCTTCAAGTGTCCAATTCCTTGAGCAGTTTGAAACTGTGAAGGCCCATGCCCATCCGTCCTCCTCGTCATAGCCAAACACCACCGAGAACCTGCAGCATGTGCGACAGGTCCTGAAATTTGGAATGCTCTTGGTCAAAGTCTGGGATGCTAGCCATGGCGCCACTGGACGTGTGACATCGTGATCCTTGCCAGCTGCCACTTGAAAAATGTCAGTTCTTCAATTTGATCTTTGGGCGTCGACAGGCATCACAAGCTTCACACTACGTCCTCCATAGCTTTGGTGTTGCGGTAGCTCAGCCCATCCGTCCTTGGATTCGAAAGCATTGATCCGGTACAAGACTGCTTGCCACGGATGCAATGCGGACAAACCTGCCAATGCAGAAAAGGATCTGTGCTTTGAGCCATCTGTTGTCCACGATGAACTCCTGCAAGTGGCACACATGGTTCACCTCTTTGTGACGCCCCTGCAAACCTTAGGGAAAGTGCTTTGGGCACAAAAGTCAAGGTATCCTGCAGCACGCGACCATCTGAGGAAATGTGAGGGTCTTTGCGAGCTTCTGTCCCCGCAGCCCCCGCGGCGAAGGAATGTTCAGTCCGGCCAGTCTCATGGAGCGTTCCGAGCGTTCCGCGCTCCTCCTCCTGGGTCCTGAACACCCGCGAGAGTGCATCAAATATCAACATGCTGATGTAATGCTGAACAAAGACCGCTCACTTGACTTATTGACTGACTGCTCCCTCTTGTCTGCTTACAGGACTGCGAAGAAGCAAAAGGAAACTGATAAACGCCCTTTGCAGATAGGTAAGTTCCCTGCAGATCTTTGTACTCTTCTTCCTGTCACGACGCATGTTGTCGCGCCAGATGTTTTGGCATTGCTGAAATCAAGGGGACAAAAAGAAACATCCTCATATTGCCCACCTTCATTCTGATCCCCCTGGCTTTCTGGTACTCCTCGAACACCTGGCATGCAGGGCCGCGCGTGTCTTTCACAGCCTCCCCGCCCCCCAAGGGACTCTTCTTTGCCCTGTGCTAAATGGGGGCTTGGGTGTCTATGAAGGGGTGCTTTGCTACCACGCTTTCCAGGAAATACCTTCTCCTAGAAATCAGAGCGTGGGCATCGATTCCAAAACTCTCTCCTCAAGTAAACAGCCCCTCTAGCATTGTTACACTGTCATACTGTGTTGCATGAAAATGTTGCGCGCCTTGACTTGAAGGTCAGCGGACCTCGGTCGAGCCAAGCTGCCAATTTCGGTTTTCCTGATTATCTGCACATCGAGGCTGAGCAGGATGCATGGTTGTGAGCACAGTGCTTGTATCCGAAACAGAACCTCGGCACTGTTGTCAGGCACGAGCCAAAAGACGGAGTACGATGGAGTTAAGATTCGGGCCACCTGCGTCTGCAACCTTGGCCCGTGTGAAAAATACGACAAGTACCTGCTACTCCTGCAGACTTTCCCATAGACTTCTGGCAGCGCACCTGGTGTAGGATCTCCAACCTTCAGTGGCGTTGCTACAGACCCTCCAGGAGAGAGACTCGTGGGCCTAATCGATGGTAAATGATTCGGCAGAAGTAGAGGTTATATTCGGTAACGGTACAGGGTCCAGTCTTGTCCGCCTTTTTCCCATGCGACTAGCTCTGCCTGCGGCGCTAAAGCACTGAGAGCTGGGCAGCATGTCTTGCACTTGAACCACATACGCTGCCTGTGGATCGGCAGAATTCAGTATGGAAAGCATTGGAAAGCCGCAGAGTTCTCCATCTCCAGCCTCCTCAGCTTCAGATGGTTGACAGCCTGCAGGTGGAGCTGCAAATCCAGCTTGCTTTGCATCAAGCAGCTTTGCCACGATGCCTGAAAGACAGTTGTTGCCAAACCATCGCCTGAGAACCGGACAACTTCACAGCTTGTGCTCTGTTGCTACCGGCAGACACCAATGCCGACTGTTTTAGGAGAATGTGAGGCACGTGCGTTGTCAACTCGACAGCATAGAGTAGGACCTGCCGATGGCAAAGTGCGGTCTTGGACAGCGATCCTGCCACATCCTGCAAGCTGGCCTGGAACCGCCAAATGGCCCAAGGAGAAAACGGAATATCCTCGCATAAAGCGCCCTCGCTGATAGAGTTCAGAACTGCATTCGTGATAAATTTCGGCAAGCAGGCGGGTGCGTCAGTCGCGTTCAGTGGAAGCATGCGGCTTCTGCGCAGCCCTGAAATCCAACGGATCTGCAGCTTCTATGCAGCTTGCAGGGCCGCTGCTGCAGAAGAACTGGCCAGCATCCTGCTCAGACTGTAGGGCTTGCAAATGTGGAAGCCTGAACGCATGACTGGATCCACGAAATGCAACACGTCATACACTTCAGCAGGCAGCAATACATCTCATAAGCTCTCATGGTGACGAGTACCTCGTCGAGTGCGCGGGCCGCTCGGATAGCAGACGTCCATGAAGGAAGCGCTGTCTTGCGCTTGCTATATGTCCACGTTCGTTGTGCAGCTCCACGCGCTTTGATCGATCCGCTTCATCATTGCCCTCCTTGGCCCAAAGCTGGAGACCAGCAAGCACTGCGACAAGCCTGCTTACCTCTACCTCGGTGCGATGCTCACCTGCGCATGTGGCATCATGCTAACACATCCCTTCCACTCAAGATCCACAAGAACCGGATGTGACCTAGATGAAGTGACGCAAGGAGCAACTGCTTGTCTGGGCCAACTTCATAGAATTCTTGCACACCGTCGTCGATCATCCTCGCGGCTCTGGACCACAAAACCTACGAAACCCAAGCCCAGAAAAGGGAATTGACAAAAAGGCATCTCCTCTGCATGCTCGGCTCCCACAATACTGGGGAGCAAAGCTGCTTCGACAGGAGTGACACGATCTCCTTTGGGACCATTGCGTTGAAATACGGTCTGGGAAATTGAGTAGACTCGACCGTCCTCCACTGACGTCCCTGCTGCCAGCTTCCTGCCGGACGCAATCCCAACGACAGCCTGCCTGGAGTCTGAACATGCAGCTGAGGTTCTGCCCTGTTGCATTCATGTACCTGGGCGCACGCGGGCTGATATGCTGGGCATTTTTGGGCTCGGTACGACACCCAGAACGGAAGAGGCCACGTCAATTAGAGCTGCTGTCTGCTGTGCTACTTCTGACATCTTCTGATAAAGTGGAGCCCGACAGGAACTGAACTCCGCCCAGTAAAGCATTTGCACACCAGCCCTGCAGCAGCAGGGTAGCAGTATGAGCCGGGGCAGGCAAAGCCGTTGCCCCCGTATCTGACAAGCCAAGAATGGTCGTTTAGGCTTCCGACCGGCGTCAGCATGGCTATAGGCATTTGCCGAACAAGACAAAGTAACCAGCAAAATGCCATCCGTGGTTCAAGGAGCTGTGTATGTCTGGAATTCACTCCCAAGGGAAATTGAGTTTCACTGGATAAGTCATGATGCCCCGGAACAAACCCAGAACGACAGTGAAGAGCCACGGCGATCTTCAGACGGGAATGTTGAGCTCAGTTCAGCTTGTTGCCAAAGACTGCGAGCAATATCATCTAAGAGGACGGCGCAGACGACGACGGTGACGACGAAGACCATATTTCCTCTTAAGGACCTACCTCCCCCTAAGGGCTGACCTCCCTCAATTTTTCTTATCAGGCCACGGATTTGGATTTGGGTTCATGGATGGATCGATTGAAGCCGATCAGAGTGAAAACCCGTTAATCCATGTGTTGATGCGCAGTACCCGCATGGTAGCATCATCTCCCGGCGTTTGGGCGTCGCAGGGTGACGTCACCAGTGGTTCACGGGCCGCGAGCGGACTCAGGGCCCAAATTGGAAACGGCCGGCATTGCTCACAGAGCTCTCCGTCCTCCAGACAAGGCACAACGCCTGAAAAGGCCTCTGGGCTGCAACGGGGGCACGGCATGTGTCACTCATATGTCTTGAATTCCCAGATGGCGAGTTCGTAGATGCGCGGGCAGGTTTGGTCGGAGTCATTGTTGTTTGGTGGGCTTTACTTTTTGTGTTGCTCGAGGCTTGAATGGCGTCCGTTATTCTAGCTATTGGGTTGGGGTGGGTCGACAGTCTTTTGCTTTTCGCCCTTGAGTATGAAATTTTCTGCTCGACTATCCCTCCCTCGTCCTCATTGATCTCGTCAAAGCCTGGTTGCGGTTTCGCCTACAGGGTTTCTACGTTGTTGTCGGGCCTCCTTTGTTGTTATTTTCCTCCCTACGGAAAGTAAGGGCATTAAAAATCTGCCGACGATCGGCAGATTGCTGCTCTGAACTGAACGTCTTCACAGCATTTTCACACGCCATCACCTCGAGTACCCCTTTCGGCCCAACAGTTAGGTCTTCATGGCTGACAGCGATCCCAGCGCCCGCAGCGACGGCTGCACATGCACTACATGACCGATCCGGTCTTCCCTGCGCAAGACGATCAAGCACAACAATCATGACTAAATGGAACTCTCTGCCTTCCGAGACCGACATCCGGATGTGGGCCAGAGAGTTCATGGCCTTCAGCGCAAAATACTCGTGCTACACGAAAGGCGACTACAAAGACGAACTGCTGAAATTCAAGCAGGACATACAGCATCTGCACAAATGAGATCTCCTGCACTACGTCGCGAGTACGATGGGGTCGCACATCAAGGCATTTTCTACACGTGCATTGAATGCGACTTCAACAAGACTTCGGACGAGCTGCTGGCAACCAAGTAAGGAAATACTTTCCATAGCTTAGAATCGAATTTACTCGACATTTCTTTTCGGAGTGCGTATTTTGCTCATGCCTTTTTTTGGTTGGGGTGCCAGCACCTCCTAGGGCCTTCCAGTGGGGCCTCCCAAGGCCCTTCAGGGTCTCCCAAGGCTTCGGGCCTCCCACGGCCTCGCAGGGCCTCTTCGATCGACATTTCTTCAGCTAGCAATGTCCGCCCAGCTGCTAATTATCACGATTACTCTTACTGTTACTATTAATTACTATTGAATTGCTACGATTTTCATTGCCACTCCTAGTATCAGTACGACTGCTACTATTAACCTGAATTTTACTACGCTTGCTGCCATGCTTACTATTATTACTACTACCACCACTACTACCATTATTATTACTACTA